GTCCGCCCTCAGGATACGTTGGGTAGTGATGACCTGACCCAGAATGTCCCCACGAATGTCCCCACGAACGGGTGACACAAACCCGCCTTAAACACTTGAACCATGCATGCATGTTCTAGGATCTCCTACTATATATGTTTCAATAATAATCCAAACGAGCATCTCCCCCGTGACTTGTTTTCAAAGTCATGGGGATATAGATCTGTTTGTAGAGAATGTACATGTCTAAGGTCACCATGCGTACGACCAACGCAACAATACACTTCTGAGGCTTGCCGTTTGACAAGCGTTATGACATTGAACGGAGTGGGTGGCTACATCAGACAGAAATGGTGGTATTTATTAATGAACCCCTTCCTTCTTCAGTAAGTCGGGTACAATGTGTAAGCCCATTTGTGGTGATATTGTTTGAATACATTGCTAAAAGCGGTGTAAAACCATACTCACTTTAGAAATCACTGAAACCAGGAAAACCAGAGATACCGTCTGATCGGTTTCATATTAACATCTATGCATAACGACTCAGTTACACACAAAAAATATGCAAAAGACTGTAAGACAAGAGGGGTGATTCAACTTTTAAATAGTCAACTGTCCCTTAATGTCGAGCAATATTCCAGGAACTCCAGCCTTTGCCATTTTAACATCTTTTGGTGTACAAGATTTCAAACAGCTGTTACATTCGATAATGCCCTTTCTAGGAAGATTTCAAAGAGTGTCACACCACTCCTGCTCAAAAGTTGTTTGATCAGCTTAGAACATTCAAGGCCTCTGTAAAGTTTTCAAAACATTGGATGACATTCCAAATTTAACGTATTAGTGACAAAAGTGATACCCGATTTACCCGTATTGTTTCGGGTGAACAATTGACTTGCCTTTGCATGCGTTTGTGACGGGTGCCACCGTTGGGCAGAATACGCTCCCCTTTTCGAGGACACCTGGTATCATCACTATTTGAGAGTGATTCATAAGCACATGGTTATGATATGGTTGGAGTCGTACAGAAGACTGCTTTCAGTAGATATTTCGTATGACTGTGGTAAGCATTTTATCGCTTTCATTTTCTTAAGTTTTTAAAAATGCAACGTATGCTCGTCGACGATTATTTACATGCTGCCGTTATTTAGCTGTAATATTGCGGATGGTCGGCGATAAAAAACAGCAGGACACACTCGAATATATATATATACTAGCCACATAAAGAAACTGTGCACGGAGAAAATATAGATATAAGGGCACACCGTGCATATATGAAATAAAGGTTTGAACAGCAATTATTGAAGACATTCAAACGCTCGTGCACGTGCCATGCGAAATGACGTCATGGATGGGGGCCTATGGACGTGCAGTGTGTTACTGCACGTGCATCCTGTGCAGCTGTACACAGCATGTGCAACTCAAAATTCGCTGTCACTTTGGAAAGCATGATCTGTGGTCATTCAAAAATTCAAAACTTCTCAGGCGCAGACACAAGCATAACACAAGCAAATCATGCCAAGATTGACAGCTGCACAGCGTCATGAAGCCATTGGAATGATCCGAGCGGGAATGAGGCAACAACAGGTGGCAACACATTTCCAATGCCATCGTAACACGATATCGGCATTGGTGAGGCGTTATCAGAACCCAAATGACGTTGCCGACCACCCACGTTCAGGACGTCCCCGAGTAACGACGCCAAGACAGGACAGATGGATTCGAGTTACACATCTCCGACACAGGTTCCAAACGGCAGTAACGACGTTCCAGACAATTCCTGGACTGCGCCGTATCCATCCCAACACTGTCAGGAATCGTTTACGTCAGTACGAGATTCGACCACGACGCCCTGCCATACGTCCCATCCTGACACACCGTCATCGCGTCAACCGTCTAAGATGGTGTCGAAATCATGTTCGCCAACCTCGAATATGGTGGAGAAATGTTGTCTTTACAGATGAATCGAGGTTCAACATTTCCCACAGTGACGGGCGCCAACGTGTCTACCGGCGTTTGAGAGAACGTTATGCACGCAACTGTATTGTGGAGAGGAATCGTTTTGGAGGTGGCTCTGTGATGATTTGGGGTGGGATAACTGCACGGCACCGAACCCCTTTGGTGGTTGTTCAGGGCAATCTCACCGGTGTTGGCTACAGAAATCAGATTCTGAGGCCTGTGGTCATTCCTTTCCTGCAACGTCATGGCCCGGGATTGACATTGGGACTTTGTCGTTTGACCCCCTATTCCATTTTGATCTTCTGACGTCATCGTAACAGATGTTGTTCAGGTCCCGTTGACATTTTCTTATGGTCCGATCATTCAGCTGCTACAGCGTCTGCATCATTTTGTTCTTGCTGTGTTGTATTTCAATCCAGAATATATTTTCTCCGTGCAGTTTCTTTATGTGGCTAGTATATATATATATTTAATATATATGTTTAATGATTACCAGTGATTTTGGGTTTGTTGTTACCTGTTCCATAGTCTGCTAATCACAGTTTGTGAAACAATGAAGGTATGACTTCTGCCAGTTTCCAGCGTGCCAATAGCCCGTTGCAGACGCCGCAACGCTAGTTCATACAATGAATGAAATCAAGTAAATGGTAACTGTATGGTGAGCAGAATCAATAAAATTGACAGAAATAATGGTCCACAGATTACCAGTGACATTAATAACTTTTACGCCAAAAATAGTTTTTACATTGGGTGGGCACTGCCATAAACGCGTTAAATAGAGGAAAGCCCGAAGTGGTGCAGGTCTCAGACGTTTACAACTTCGGTGAAACCCACGAGCACGGGTATGATGCTGACAAACTTAGAAACATAATCGGGCGAACCGGGATTTGAACCCACAATCGAAGGTTTCTGGCGTGCCCAAGGGACGCAACTCTGGACAGGAAATCGCGGGGACTTAGATGACTGGGCTACCTGTGGCTCTGTGTTTGGTATGTAGTTTTATCAATAGGCATGTTTTGAAATATTTAGTTTCATTCAAATGTTAATAGCCACATGAACTACATCCACTGAAAACTCAGATATAAACAGACCCCACTGGTGTGCGTAGATGCAAAGACAGTCAGGAACCAGTCTTTATTATGGATCAGTACTCACACTATCTTTCACTGGTTCGCGGCTCATCATATACTCTTATAAAAAGTAGGGGATCATGAAATATAAATGTTAATACCAAGTACCAGATCAAAGGTAAGTGTAAGGAGGTTTATGTCTGTAAAACGCCAATACACATTCCATAGTTTGTATGTACCTCATGCAGTAGCGCCACACACCTGTGTAGGGTGTCATTCCTGATTTTGACACTTTCCAGGAAGGTCGGTTAATCTCTGTGGACCATTATTTCTGTCAATCTTATTGATTCTGCTCACCATACAGTTACCATTTACTTGATTTCATTCATTGTATGAACTAGCGTTGCGGCGTCTGCAACGGGCTATTGGCACGCTGGAAACTGGCAGAAGTCATACCTTCATTGTTTCACAAACTGTGATTAGCAGACTATGGAACAGGTAACAACAAACCCAAAATGTTGACGATCAACGCCGTTTGTGTTTAGGATCGACTGATCCGAAACCAGGCTCCTCGAAGTCGAACTGAAACATAGAATCAAACTGCTACTGGACTACAATGTTTGGGTCAGACACGGGTCTACAGGCAGCTCATCTCCATGTTCTGCAGCCACGTGTTGTGCCACCCCTTCCAAATCGTCAACAGACGTAAACGGTGTACACAACGTCGAAACTGGGGTAATCGTCGCTGGTCACGTGTTAACGCCGCACTCAGCAATATTCCAGCTTAATGACGGCGGTCTGTAAACAAGCGATTCTGGACCAGACAATCCAGTCATTGACATCATGAGCATCGATCCACACAATTGGGATACGATAACATGCATCAACTGAGCCTGAACACCTGATCCTGTTAGTCGCCTTTTACGACAAGCAGTCGCCTTTTACGGCAAGCATAGGTTGCTGAAGACCTATTCTACCCCGGATCTTCACGGGTCCTTTCCCTCATTGAACACGTATGGGACATGATAGGGAAACGAGTGTGTGAATTAACTTCATAGGCTGCTGATTAGTCCTTTCCCTCATTGAACACGTATGGGACATGATAGGGAAACGAGTGTGTTAATTAACTTGATAGGCTGCTGATTAGTCCTTTCCCTCACTGAACACGTATGGGACATGATAGGGAAACGAGTGTGTTAATTAACTTCATAGGCTGCTGATTAGTCCTTTCCCTCATTGAACACGTATGGGACATGATTGGGAAACGAGTGTGTTAATTAACTTCATAGGCTGCTGATTAGTCCTTTCCCTCACTGAACACGTATGGGACATGATAGGGAAACGAGTGTGTTAACTATTGGTTTTGGCAGCTCAAGATTGGACCACACTTCCAGGCTGCGGTGATGTAGCTGTTATATTCTTAATGGCTTCAGAAAGCATCATTCACACAATGACAACTATTTTAGTGGGTCTAAGCTAAATACATTGGATCTTCATAATGAAAACAAAATCTCAATGTCATAAAAATGTTTATAATAATCAAGCATCTTAAAATCACATGCAATATGTATCTGTTATATTCATCTGACAACAAACCATTCTCAAACACTTCAAACACTAAGGCAATCAAACTTCAAAATCACACAAACTTTTTATCTAAGTGTTTAGACATATCGAAAAGGAGTGCTGAAGGCAAATTCTCCGACTACTTAAACCTTGATGAATCTCAAATGTTCATACAGACTGGGAGTAAACCCAGTAACTAACTTATAAACAGGTAATATATATACTGTATTCAATGTAATAAGCGCCCAGGGTGCTCTCAAAATTAGAAATAGGGGGCGCTTATTAGAATATTATTTTAGTGAAAAAAACAGAGTTGAAAGATAAATTTTGTGGTTTATGCTGACAGCCTGAAGTGTTTATGTACGACAGATATATTTTTCCAGAATTTAATTGCCCATAATTAAGGGTGCATATAACACACGAGTGCGTATTATACAAGAATAAATAAGTCTTGTGTACAGTTATCAATCGGAAGGGGTGCTAATTGGGATTGTTCACTGGCCAATATATTAGCAAATGTCGCCGTGGGCGCTTATTACGTCAAATATGGTAATCTCCCTTTAACTTCTGATTTGAAACATCACAATTCATTGAGCACAATAGCTTAACACGTAATCAAAACACAACACCTCAAAGTTCTGACTATTTCAGTCTACTCGTGTTTGTGTACATGTTTCTGACATCAGTTCCACACTGAGATTCTGTATATGGGATAGGCAGCGATTGTTTTTTACTCCATCAGCCCCACTGTGAACTTCCCCTGCTGTGAAGACAGTATCCAAATGATGAATTGTGTGAGGCTGCCTGAAGATGTGGCAGTACGTAGTAGCAGTCTCCCTTCAGAGAGATGTCATATGACCCACACTAAGGCACAGGAGACAATCCAGGAAACGTTCATCACATCATGGTCCTTCTATGGATTCATGTTTTTCAACTTGTGATGAGATTCAAATTCTCTGCAATAAAAATTAGTTGCCAGACATTAAAAAAACTGCAAGTGCATGTTAAGTGGTGTTTATAAGATTGACTACTGTACACGAGTGGTGTGGTGTTTATTAGATTGACTACTGTACACGAGTAGTGTGGTGTTTATTAGATTGACTACTGTACACGAGTGGTGTGGTGTTTATTAGATTGACTACTGTACACGAGTAGTGTGCTGTTTATTTGATTGACTACTGTACATGATTAGTGTGCTGTTTATTAGATTGACTACTGTACACGAGTAGTGTGCTGTTTATTTGATTGACTACTGTACATGAGTAGTGTGGTGTTTATTAGATTGAGTACTGTATACGAGTAGTGTGGTGTTTATTAGATTGAGTACTGTATACGAGTAGTGTGCTGTTTATTTGATTGACTACTGTACATGAGTAGTGTGGTGTTTATTAGATTGAGTACTGTATACGAGTAGTGTGGTGTTTATTAGATTGAGTACTGTATACGAGTAGTGTGCTGTTTATTAGATTGAGTACTGTATACGAGTAGTGTGGTGTTTTTTAGATTGACTACTGTACATGAGTAGTGTGCTGTTTATTAGATTGAGTACTGTACATGAGTAGATTTGTTAGATCGAGTTGGAGATGATATTCCTTTGTTAGATCTGTTTCTCATAGGTTTTCTTACATACTAGAGGCAATGAAAAAGAGACAAATTTAGGGCAATGACACCAGAAAAGGTCCATCTTACTGACCCATGACCTGTCTGTAGACCTTGGACAGGTAGTCACGAGAGTTGTGGTCACTCCTGTTGCCCACGGATACGCTCAGGTCATAGTCAGGGCCATACTTCATGAAGAACTGCAAAGACAGTAACATATTTCACAAGGGTAAGGCAGTCGGAGCCAAACACTGATTGGGTCTATAGACAACACTTGGCTCTCAGCCTCAATTTCAGAAGACTTAAGTGTCATTTTATGGATTTCTGAGTGAGCTTACTAGATTGAACAGAGGTTTACAAGACTTTTATAAGAGCCTTAGAGATGTAGCCTGGTACAGCATGAGTCAGTTACAAGTCTTTTTCATGACAGTCACCATAAATACCAACTATATAATAATGATCAGTTCATGTATAATAACTGATGGGTATGGAACAAGGGAGGCTACTCCTGCTATCCCTGCGTGATCATGTAACACCACACTGCAAGGTTTCACATGAACTACAATGCATGCCGGAGCAAATTCCCAACAAAAACAACTCTCTTAACTGTTCATTGTATTCATAGTTTCAAAAACAAGAATGTCTGTAGATTAAGGATGTTTACATGTAACCAGGGAAACCAGAGACTGTAAATTATTTATACTAGAATTGCGAATCGAGAAGCAAGTGAGATACCTTGTGATCAGGAACGTCTTGAGGCAGTTTCTTCCCAACAGCCAGGGAGGTGAGAAAGGCCCAGCACTTGGCGGTGTTCACATGGTTGTAGCCCCCTGTGGACATCAGTGGGAGGCAAAGGAAGAGGCGATTCACACACAACGATTCCAAACTAAGTGCTCTTGGAGGGAAATTTGGAAAATCCTTCAAAATTTGGATTCTTTTTCAGAAGTATTGTAACATTGAATTGTAACACTAGATTCAATGTAATAATGTTACACTAAGCAATAAAGCCTCTTCCTCTATTTTGGCGTTCTGTTATCAGTGAAATACAAGTCACATCTACAAAGATAACATTTGTTATAACTTTAACATATGAATTGGGAAATGTTGAATTCAAATTTGGGAATTTCCACTGACACTTGCTGCAGACTTTGGGCTAAGGATTGGCCTCTAAGCAGCTCTAGATAAATCCCTGTACACAGAACAAAAGCAATCAGTTTTCAGACACACTCCACGGCACTACTTGGGTACGTAAGTTTCACAATGCAGCGATGGCAGCAGATGCCAACCGTCAGAGGAGGAGTCCACAATGGACATGGGTGAGGGCAGGGTCTTCCGTTGGTCTCGGCTATATTCCAGCAATATCACATCTTCACATTGGGAACTGAAACCAGGTTTACCTGCTAGGCAACCCCTATAGCACTTTTCAGGGTGACCCACTTGAATATTCCCAGAAAACCCTGTGTCATAGTACTTACCTCCCCCTAAAAGCAGTAATGGAATCTTCCAGCTTTGCAGGGTATACACGCATCTCCCCAGCCCAAGGGGTGTGAGGTTGAACGACTCCATGGGGTCCCCAGCGATGCCATCCGCCCCACACTGACACACAACAGCCTCAGGTCGGAACTTCTCCTTCACCCTTGTCATTACTCTGAAACAATGTCAAACCCTTCTCAAAATAAGCATAAATCTTGAGATTGTTAATATTAAAGTGTGCTGAGTATTTGTCAACAATAGGTAATTAGACCTGTAACATGCTGACAATGTAATATTCCATAGCAGGGGCACACCAACAAAGGATCTGTCACACATTGTACCCGTATGGGCCAACCCAACTGGTCTCTGGCACAACAATGCTACAAGTAGGCTATCCCATTGCCCATGCTTACAGCTTGACACAACAAGTTACCTGTTAAAGAGCGCAGAGAATTCTGTGTCCTTGACCCCGTCCAGCAGGGGAACATTGACCGAGTAGTACTTGCCTTTACAGACGCCGACATCACTGAGGGAGCCGGTACCTGGCAGGACATCACACAGAGTTCATGCCATGTCTTCAGGAACATCCTAGCTTTGTGACATCTTCAGACATGTGACAATCTCATGCATCAATTACGTCAAACCGGACTGCCGGTAATTTGTGAACATGCTCAAGGTATCAGCACTACAGCACATGCTTGCTTTGTAACAAAATTTGGATGTTTGAAAAAAATATAAAAGTTCATAAATAGTGGTATATAACATAAAGTCTTAAGTGGCATGCCTGAGACATTTACCACTTTGGTAAAACCACAAACACAGGTTTGGTACAGACAAACCAAGAATCAGAACAAGGGTGAAATTGAGATTCAAACCCATGATCATGTGATACTGGCATGGAAAGCAATGTAACTCAATGTAACACGGATGACTGGGCCATCTGTGCCACCAAGTGTGTCCTGAAGTGGAATATTTATCATATTATATTTCCTCACATGCATCACTTACCATGCACGTCCTATAAACACTCACCTGGGAAGAAGCCAGACAGGTATTTATGGAATGACACGGTGAGGACCTTGGAGGTTGTACAGAAGGCATCTTCCACCCCTAGGGACACACAGACAAACAGTGTCATATGTCAAACAGTGTCACATGCTAAACAGTGTTATATGCCAAACTGTGTTATATACCAAACTGTTGTATAAGTCAAACCATGTCATATGCCAAACTGTTGTATAAGTCAAACCATGTCATATGCCAAACAGTATCCCATGTCAAACAGTGCTATATGCCAAACTGTGGTTCAAGTCAAACAGTGTCCCATGTCAAACAGTGCTATATGCCAAACTGTGGTTCAAGTCAAACAGTGTCCCAAGTCAAACAGTGCTATATGCCAAACTGTGGTTCAAATCAAACAGTGTCCCAAGTCAAACAGTGTCACGTGTCAAACAGTGTCCCATGTCAAACAGTGTTGCATGTCATTGTCCCATGTCAAACAGTATCATTTGTCACTGTCCCATGTCAAACAGTGTCACATGTCAAACAGTATCATTTCAGTGACCTATGTCAAACAGTATCATTTTTCACTGTCCCATGTCAAACAGTATCATGTCAGTGACCCATGTCAAACAGTGTCCTATGTCAAACAGTATCATGTCAGTGTCCCATGTAAAACAGTATCATATGTCAGTATCCCATGTCAAACAGTATCATGTCTGTGTCCAATGTCAAACAGTATCATGTCTGTGACCTATGTCAAACAGTATCATGTCTGTGTCCCATGTCAAACAGTATCATGTCTGTGACCCATGTCAAACAGTATCATGTCTGTGTCCCATGTCAAACAGTATCATGTCTGTGACCTATGTCAAACAGTATCATGTCTGTGTCCCATGTCAAACAGTATCATGTCTGCGACCTATGTCAAACAGTATCATGTCAGTGTCCCATGTAAAACAGTATCATGTCTGTGACCCATGTCAAACAGTATCATGTCTGTGTCCCATGTCAAACAGTATCATGTCTGTGACCTATGTCAAACAGTATCATGTCAGTATCCCATGTCAAACAGTATCATGTCTTTGTCCTATGTCAAACAATATCATTTGTCACTGTCCCATGTCAAACGGTATCATGTCTGTGTCCCATGTCAAACAGTATCATGTCTGTGACCTGTGTCAAACAGTATCATGTCTGTGTCCAATGTCAAACAGTATCATGTCTGTGTCCCATGTCAAACAGTATCATGTCTGTGACCTATGTCAAACGGTATCATGTCTGTGTCCCATGTCAAACAGTATCATGTCTGTGTCCCATGTCAAACAGTATCATGTCTGTGACCTATGTCAAACAGTATCATGTCTGTGTCCCATGTCAAACAGTATCATGTCTGTGACCCATGTCAAACAGTATCGTGTCTGTGTCCCATGTCAAACAGTATCGTGTCTGTGTCCCATGTCAAACAGTATCATGTCTGTGTCCCATGTCAAACAGTATCGTGTCTGTGTCCTATGTCAAACAGTATCATGTCTGTGTCCTATGTCAAACAGTATCATGTCTGTGTCCTATGTAAAACAGTATCATGTCTGTGTCCCATGTCAAACAGTATCATGTCTGTGTCCTATGTCAAACAGTATCATGCCTGTGTCCCATGTAAAACAGTATCGTGTCTGTGACCTATGTCAAACAGTATCATGTCTGTGTCCCATGTCAAACAGTATCATGTCACTGTCCCATGTCAAACAGTATCATGTCTGTGTCCCATGTCAAACAGTATCATGTCTGTGACCTATGTCAAACAGTATCATGTCTGTGTCCCATGTCAAACAGTATCATGTCTGTGTCCCATGTCAAACAGTATCATGTCTGTGTCCCATGTCAAACAGTATCATGTCTGTGTCCCATGTCAAACAGTATCATGTCTGTGTCCCATGTCAAACAGTATCATGTCTGTGTCCCATGTCAAACAGTATCATGTCTGTGTCCTATGTCAAACAGTATCATGTCTGTGTCCCATGTCAAACAGTATCATGTCTGTGTCCCATGTCAAACAGTATCATGTCTGTGTCCCATGTCAAACAGTATCATGTCTGTGTCCCATGTCAAACAGTATCATGTCAGTGTCCCATGTCAAACAGTATCATGTCTGTGACCTATGTCAAACAGTATCATGTCTGTGTCCCATGTAAAACAGTATCATGTCTGTGACCCATGTCAAACAGTATCATGTCTGTGTCCTATGTAAAACAGTATCATGTCTGTGACCCATGTCAAACAGTATCATGTCTGTGTCCCATGTCAAACAGTATAATGTCTGTGACCTATGTCAAACAGTATCATGTCTGTGACCTATGTCAAACAGTATCATGTCTGTGTCCCATGTCAAACAGTATCATGTCAGTGTCCCATGTCAGTGTCCCATGTCAAACAGTATCATGTCTGTGTCCCATGTCAAACCGTATCATGTCAGTGTCCCATGTCAAACAGTATCATGTCACTGTCCCATGTCAAACAGTATCATGTCTGTGTCCTATGTCAAACAGTATCATGTCTGTGTCCCATGTCAAACAGTATCATGTCTGTGACCTATGTCAAACAGTATCATGTCACTGTCCCATGTCAAACAGTATCATGTCTGTGTCCCATGTCAAACAGTATCATGTCTGTGACCTATGTCAAACAGTATCATGTCTGTGTCCCATGTCAAACAGTATCATGTCTGTGACCTATGTCAAAGAGTATCATGTCTGTGTCCCATGTCAAACAGTATCGTGTCTGTGTCCCATGTCAAACAGTATCATGTCTGTGTCCCATGTCAAACAGTATCGTGTCTGTGTCCCATGTCAAACAGTATCATGTCTGTGTCCTATGTCAAACAGTATCATGTCTGTGTCCCATGTCAAACAGTATCATGTCTGTGTCCTATGTCAAACAGTATCATGTCTGTGTCCCATGTAAAACAGTATCATGTCTGTGACCCATGTCAAACAGTATCATGTCTGTGTCCCATGTCAAACAGTATCATGTCTGTGTCCTATGTCAAACAGTATCATGTCTGTGTCCCATGTCAAACAGTATCATGTCTGTGACCTATGTCAAACAGTATCATGTCTGTGTCCCATGTCAAACAGTATCATGTCACTGTTCCATGTCAAACAGTATCATGTCTGTGTCCCATGTCAAACAGTATCATGTCTGTGTCCCATGTCAAACAGTATCATGTCTGTGACCTATGTCAAACAGTATCATGTCTGTGTCCCATGTCAAACAGTATCATGTCTGTGACCTATGTCAAACAGTATCATGTCTGTGTCCCATGTCAAACAGTATCATGTCTGTGACCTATGTCAAACAGTATCATGTCTGTGTCCCATGTCAAACAGTATCATGTCTGTGTCCCATGTCAAACAGTATCATGTCTGTGACCTGTGTCAAACAGTATCATGTCTGTGTCCCATGTCAAACAGTATCATGTCTGTGACCTATGTCAAACAGTACCATGTCAGTGTCCCATGTCAAACAGTATCATGTCACTGTTCCATGTCAAACAGTATCATGTCTGTGTCCCATGTCAAACAGTATCATGTCTGTGTCCCATGTCAAACAGTATCATGTCTGTGACCTATGTCAAACAGTATCATGTCTGTGTCCCATGTCAAACAGTATCATGTCTGTGACCTATGTCAAACAGTATCATGTCTGTGTCCCATGTCAAACAGTATCATGTCTGTGACCTATGTCAAACAGTATCATGTCTGTGTCCCATGTCAAACAGTATCATGTCTGTGTCCCATGTCAAACAGTATCATGTCTGTGACCTGTGTCAAACAGTATCATGTCTGTGTCCCATGTCAAACAGTATCATGTCTGTGACCTATGTCAAACAGTACCATGTCAGTGTCCGACGTTAAACAGTGGAATAAGTCAAACAATGTCACATGTTAAACAGTGTCACAATTCAAATAGAGGTACAAGTCAACCAGAGTCAGAAGTCAAACGGTCATATGTAAAACAGTATTTCACAGCATGTCAGCTAGATCATGTAAAGTGGGAGGAATACCCAAGTGATGCATGGCTGCAGATGTTTATCACAATGGGAAAACCAATGAGCATTGGTATAGTGAAGGCAGACCAACGACCATAACTGGGCAAAATTTGGGAATTTGTACTAATGGCTTGCATCAAGTAATCCTGGCATGGCTTAGCAAACTCAGGGAAATGAACTGCTGAGGGAATTAGGTTGCGTCAGACCATGCCCCCTTATTTTAGAGGCCAACATCCTGACCCTGAACGATATGGTGCACCCACACCTACCGTCGCCATGGTGAAGGTCAATGTCAACATACAGCACTCGGTCAAAGCGCTGTCTCAGTTTCAGGATTCCAAGGACGATGTCGTTGATGTAACAGAACCCCGAGGCGCTGTCTCTGTAGAAGACACATCAAGATAAAAATTCACTTGCTATCAGTAACTTCACACTGCAATCTTAATCTCTTTGTGCATACAGGCTTTGTCCTAACCTTCATCCCATCACGATAGGTCAACCTGTTTGTTGTTTCTGTAAATCTCTGTGCAAATGGACTCTCCACCATATAACTCTGTCCTGGCAAAAGCTACTTAGATACATGTAAAAATCTGATCATACATAGACTGAAGCTAACTGAAGCTTTATCAAAGTCAGAAGGAATGTGTGTATAGTCAGAAAGAAATGCTACCAATAACATTAGTGACTTGTAGTGTAACGATTGAGTATTATTGTAATTGTCAATTTTAAACAACATAACCACAGATCTGGGTAGTCTTGTGGGTACCCGGGTCCTACTCAGTACCCACCCGACCTGAGTACCCAAGTTTTCCCTATCACACCGCAAATGAAAAACGTAGCAAGTAGCAAAATGGGATCAACTGCACAATCAGTAATGATAGTTTCTCTTATTCTAAATAATGCAAGCCTAATATCCCATTTCATATTGTACACAAGGCTCACCTAAATTCAAAGACTTATAAGATTTGATGAAAACCAAACAGATTAATTAATTGTAGACAGGTCATTCTCAGTTACAGTCTCTCTTTTCATCAAACACAAGTACAGTACACTCAGTGTTGTTGCTTCAGATAAATGTGTCTTTAAGATTCCAGTATTGCTCAGGGCACTGACGGTTCTGTACGTGGGGCTGTCGGGTAGCCTAGTGGTTAAAGCGTTTGCTAGTCACGCCGAAGACCTGGGTTCGATTCCCGACATGGGTACAATGTGTGAAGCCCATTTCTGGTGTCCCCCGCCATGATATTGATAGAATATTGCTAAAAGCGGCGTAAAAACCATACTCACTCACTCAATCAATCTTCTGTACGCACCTCTTGGCATGATGCCATCCCCCACACCAGTTCATGGCAATGTCACAAGATCCATCAACCAACAGCTCCGCAGCACGGATCGTTGCCCCGGCAACCAGCACAGCATACTCATACACCCCGACATGGACAGGGCAATCATATGCTACAATGTACAATCATATCCTGAAATTATGACAAGATATAATAACACTGAAACACACAATCGTGGCGTATTCATTACATCGAAACGTACACATCAGTAGAATAAGTATGTAAATATTTCCCGTGACCCTGGACCCGTGAAGATCCGGGGTGGAATAGGTCTGCAGCAACCCATGCTTGCCGTAACAGGCGATAATGCTTGTCGTAGGAGGCGAGTTACGGGATCGGGTGGTCAGGCTCGCTGACTTGGTTGATGCAGCATGTCATCGATCCCAATTGCGTGGATCGATGCTCATGATATTAATCCCTGGATTGTCTGGTCCAGACTCGATTAGTTACAGACCACCGTCATATAGCTGGTATATTGCTGAGTGCAGCGTTAAACAACAAACCAACCAACCATGACACTCTATACTAAATAATCTAAGACTAAACAATTGATGAATATCTATATGTCAATTGCCTAAATCATGCTCACAGATAGTTAATACAACCAATTGCAGCGGTAGAAACTTAACATTTTTAGTCCACTAGTCATAAAATGATAACATATAGCAAAACCCTTAAAATGGCAAATTTCTACTAGTCCTTATGATACCATAACTGTTGGACAGTATGGCAAGGACTACAGGACTAGTGCCAATTTCTAATGCTGCATTGCAAATCTCTTTAAATAGCAATTTGAAACAGAGCAATGTATAAATAAATAATATCCTAACCTGCTTCCTCAGAGAGGGCCTAAATTTCAGGAGGCCCAGTTTTCTAAAGTGGCGTAATTTGCTGCAGTAATTATCATGGGTTCGAATACTGGTCAACCCTCATTTTGTTTCTAGGTTTGTCAGTGCCATACCCATGGTCTTGTTTCAACAAAGTGGTAAACGTCTAAGACAAGCATGGGTTTTCCTCCCACATCAAGCTGGCACTCCATGATATATCTGACTACTGTTCAATGCGACATTAAACCAAACTCACTTCTAAATATAAATTCAGTAGAGCAATATCAAACCCATACTTATTGATTTATGAATGATACTAAACATAATCTTGTCAAAATGATAAACAAACAACAAATTATGTGTTCCAGTGCAAGCAATCTTATTTCAAACCTACACTTATTAGTAGTTATTGTGTTATTATTCAAAACATTTTAACACAAATAGTTAAGATGCATTTACAAAAGAAGAGAGTGAATTTCTATTCACACAGTGCTATATAAAGTTAAGAAAAGATATTCCCACTGACTGAGGCCGAACTGTTCTGCCTCTTGGTCATATTTCTCTTCATCCTCTTGGTCACTGATCTTTCCCAGAAACTCTATATATTCGGATGAGTGGAACTGAAGCAGTTCCGATGCAGTTGCCTCCCTTGGTGGTATCGCTCTGAAGTAAAAAAGCATTGATTAGTGATTGTAAACGAATGATCTCTTGCTGACCATACAGTTGTTTGACTTGGCAAGGACTATATGTTTAAACAACTCACTTCATGTACTTGACAAGGCCATACGCTTCTATCAACCTGTGAACCATGCTTGCCTGAAAGGAAAATTGGAAACTGTCAAAGAATATTATAACTTAAGGCTTAAAAAAAATAAAAGAATTGGTTCTCAGGCAATGACTTTTAAGAATATAGTGCGGGCGGGCAGTGTTTTTTTAAAAGTTTTTTTGTTTGTTTGTTTTTTTCTTGGGGGTGGGGGTGGGGGGGTGTGGGGGCCACCATGACAATAACCAAGATGCGCAGTAAAGCAGTGCGCATGTAAAGGGAAGTAAGTAACTGTGTGCCATATTGGATCACATTGTTTTTAAGTGTTAGGATTTCTTTTTTTAAATGGAAATAAAAATGAAACGTGTGATGATGCAGGCGGTGCCTGAGAACCAAGACTATAATTTTTTTAGCCTAATACATGTCAGTCAGGGGTGGTAACAAACGTGCCTGGAGTTCCCTACCAAAGTTGTGCTTATAATGAGTCTGATACATGTATTACGTAATCTAACAGCTATTGCACTATACCATATCATGGAAACCTAAGTCTACAGTCTTCATGTTGTAGTTTCCTGATTAGTTTCTAAATATTGAAGGTATTGTTACGTGCATAAAATTAATATTGCATTTAATACTATATACATGTGCAAAATTAATTAAATCGAGAGGTCAAAATGAAGTCTGATTTACCCTCAGCTCCACTCTGGGCATCTTGTCACAGATGTTGACATAGGTTTCACTGTAAACATAGCCTACTCTGGACTGCACGCTTGACCGTGGAGTCGGTACAGTGCGGACTGGTACAGCACTCGCAATGCCATTACTGGCACAGTCTTTCTCTGGGATGGAGCTGTCAGGTTTTGGAACATCCTCATTCCTAGCTTGCAGTACCCTCTTCCTCTTGTGCAGGGGAGTCAGTGGTTGGCTGTGTTCATCAAAGTCCATGATGTCGTAAACATCGACATTGTTGGAAACAACCTGTGGCTTTGATTTGTCCTGGTCTGAGTACAGTTTATCACTGTCTGTTACTTCAAGTACGTTGGATGTCCGATTCACTAGGCTCCCACCTTCACAGCCATCCCTATTATTGTCATCTACCTGAACTCTTAGAGTACTGGCATGGTTTTGTTGCTCTTGGCACTTGCTATGAACAAAGTCAATTCTATTATATCTCATCGTTGGAAATTCAGGGTTGTTCTCATCATTACCTATATCGTTAACATCAAACGAAGACTTCAATGGATGTGATATTTCTGATTTTACATCATTTCCCCTGCCTTCAGTGGTGGCAGTAATCTCATAACCACTACCTTGACCCTGTCTCAATACATGTTTGTAAGATAATATACTACAGTTCCCTTTAACATCAGTCAAAGACGCTGGACTTGTTTGACTCGATATATCAGATACTATGTCACAGAGTCTGCGCTTCTTTAAAGGGTGTTCTGTTGCATCTGGATTTTCATTTACTGATGAATTTTGTTCTCTTGGGGCCGTGTCATGCTTATAGTTTCTGTGCAATTCAACAGAATTCTGAGAGTCATCATTATCAATGTCATAAATGTCTCTAATGTTACTTCCTTGTGCTGGCAAAAGGGATGCTACCTCATCAGCATTGAACACTGTCTTATCAATGTTTGGGAAATAATCATTTTTAGTCCTACATTCTTCTCTTTTTCCCTCTTCCTCTGGTGCAGTTCCATCAACCTTTTCGGCTACAATAAATGCATCAATTTCACATTTTGAATCTAGCCTTTGTGAGTTTGGGGTTTCAGCATCAGGTGTTATCTCTTTAGTTGATTGTTCCTGTTTCATGGTGGACAAATGATCACCACCATACTCTGCTGACATTTTTTGTAAATTTTCATAGCAGAAATCTGAAACATGCAAAAGTATAATGAAAACTGTTCATTTGTGATTTGTGAAATTGAAAGGCTACAGAATAGCAGAGAGGGCGCCACTGTCCCACCTATTCCAAAACTGCCTAAAGGAATTTGTATTTCCCGCCAGACAAATTCACATTCTCGTAATTCTGTTTACTGGCGACGTAAACGTCCCAAATGCAAACTTCAACCATCACACTACGCACTGGCTACTCTGATCGCGGCCAAACATCTACATTACTTTTGGTTAAGTCTTTGGACAGGACTGACCATTTAAGAAGCCCAATCGTGTTTGTTTTGTTTTCATCTGAGATATGGGTTATAACGAAACTAGACATTTAGAAAAGCCGAAATATGAATATCTCTATTATAACAGAATCAGCTAAATAATGTATGATTATTGTCACATATAAAGATCGTTAATTAAACGGTGTTTGTAATTTGTTTCTTTGTGTATTTCTAATTCAATATGGGTGTTTTGTTGAAACGGCAAATGCCTTGTTTTACATTCGTTAAAGATTCTTCTCAGTTTTTATATGCTACCTCCGACGCCGAAGAGTTACTTAGAACACATTCTACTTCCGGTAAAGAAGAAATATATTGACGATTAATTTGATCATTGTAAGATGAATTGCGACTTTTTGTAAACATTGCATGTGATAAGGAGATAGATAAGTACTTCTACTGTGCAGTTCATTTTGTATTTGCACCAAACAGGAATGATATTTCAGTCTAGTGTGATGTCCCCAGTTTGTCATTATTGAAAATAGAACCACTGGTTCCTCAGATGGTCCTTATTTCGATCATAATCTTCTGAAAACTTTTGAAGAAAGGAAAGATCCAGTGCGATTTTTGTCGAAACACACAAGTATAGAATACTTGCGTACTGGATATTATAAAATTAACGGGTGGTTATTGTCTTGTGCAATTTTCACCATACCATTTCCCCTTGCTTGACAACAGTAGCCTAAGGATCTATACCGAAACGTCGTCTTTACAGTAAATAACGAAGTTGTTATCCATAAATTGTGTCTACTTTAGACTGAAATTAGTTTTGAAAATTTGAACTGTAGTATGTCTTATGCTTATGCAGGGACCATATATGGTCTCTGTGCGTATGTCAGGTTTACTAACCGACAGATGTCTGTCCTATGTCACTGTCAATTTGTGTTTCCTGATTTTCAAATTAATCATTCAGTTGGAGACACCCAACAAATGTATTGCAGAATTGTATAATTGCAAGTGTGAAATCTGATCTGTATCCATTGTATCAGTGAGTTCTTTACCATGTTTACAGCGGCATCACTGTTTATACTTATCAGCTGCACCACCTTTTAAAATTGTTGTGAGATGAGTCAGCTGTTTCAATCTGGTTTCTGTTAAATTAGTAGACTAGATAGTATTTTTGGTTAGTGTGAGTTTGAGTCCATTCTGTAATCACTGGAAACAGAATTGATGCCTAATATTATATTTTAATATTATATTCTGTTGTCTAGAGTGCATACATTGTCAATACGTCACAGGTTTTGTATACCGGTATACACCATTTTCCTTCACAAGTGAATACATACAGGCCAATTTGCAGTATAGTTGCTAATTGTAACCAACAAATCTAGCCACCGCTTGGTTCTAACAAAAGGGAAACCAGCTATCAAGTGCTTAAACCAATTAGCACTCCGATTACCAATTAGCACTCTGATTACATCTCACAATTGTCTGGTCCAGATAGCATGGATAGACCGCCGTCATATAGCTGGAATATTGTCGAGTGCGGCGTTAACCAACAACCAACCAACAACAACATCTCACAAACTGCAATATCTCCTGTGCAACATGTGCAATAGCCTTGAGGCATTCGGTTCTATTACTCTAATAGTGCTTCAGTGTCACTGATTGTGAGGCAGTGGTAGGGTTGGCACAAAGTTCATGAGCAGAGTGAGGCTCATTTGAGGTCCATAGTCATATCTGGCATCATTTTCATTACCTGACTAAAACAGACACTTGTCACTGGCTCACTGTTAAACTGTATATTCACATGTGATGGAGGAAAGTTAGTTAGGGCTGGCTTGAAAAGATTGATAATCAGAATTATTGTCAATGGGAAGAAATGTCAGCAATGTGAAATTGTGTCATCGATAATAACTTTCATAAACTATTGTGATGAAATAAAGTTTAACTTTACCGAAACAGACTTTTTATTGTCAATCATGTCAATTTCCGAAGAGGGAAAGCAACTCTTTTTGTTATATCTTACATGTCCGCAAAGTAATCTGTGCATAAATGTGCCACCACTCACCAGTGGCTTGAAATATGTTGATTTCTTTCATTTTTTTTGCATATATGCTCAATATTATTTCTGCGATATTTATCAATATTAAGTTAACGATTATCAATCTCTGTGATGTATATCGTTAGCCAGCCCTCAAAGTAGTGCATACAAATGCTTAAAGTATTGAAGATGGAGTGCACACTAACATTCTCCATTTCATGTTGTGTTCGACCTGGGTTTGAACCTATTTGATATTATTTCAGATGTGACAACTACAATCAAGCTACTAAAGACAGGAAACTTATACACAAGTTACAGCAGCTTCAACATCACACAGTATCTTAAGATGATATTGAGGTTCCTCTGATGTAATCATTAAGGTGAATCAGAGGTCACGACAATAGCCATGTCTTCTTCAACCTCTCCAAAGTCCTCCAGAAAGAGGATTAAAAAACGACCTCCTGTAAAATTAACTGTGAAGATCCCCAGTCCTGAGAAAAAGAGAAAGAAAATGAAAAGTGAATCTCTGGATTTTGATGATCATGATTACACATGTACGGTGTGTGACTTTTGTTCCAAGTCATTTGGAGATGGGGCCAAGTTGTTGAGTCATATGAGGAAGAGTCACCGCCAGGGATCACACATCTGTATGTGTCATGGCAAGCTGTTCAAGACTCGCAGAAGCATGCAAAGCCACGAAGAGAAGATGCAGGTGAAATATTTTTTACATTAGTTTTGAAACATTCTGTGACATGCTTTTTTCAATGTTAAAACTTAATAAATGAATGAAGTCCATGCCATAGCCCTATGGTTCAAAATGAAAGTTTTTGTTTTCAAACTGTTGCCAAGAAAAGTAGGAGGCCAAGACACAGCTTTCCTACAGACTTTTGGTATAATTCGCATCTTCATCATGTTGAGCCAATCTTAGATATCTGGCTTACTAATTATTTAACAAGATTAAGATTAGTGGACAAGTCTTTGTTGCGGTGTAACCCACATTGTGTGTTTTCAGGACGGTACAATGGGTCAGAGAAAGAACTATCGGAAATACACACAAGAAGCCCTGCTCAATGCCTACAATGCTGTGAAAGAAGGGAAAATGTCTACAAGAAAAGCAGCAAAGAAGTTCAGCATCCCTTTCACCACCCTCCTTGACAGAGTTGCCGGTCGGTTTGAAGTCAACACATATATGGCTACCTCAGGGCCAAGGCCTCTCATAAGCCGGGATGACGAACAGAAGCTGTGTCTTCATGTGCAGTTCATGGCTGCAATCGGCTACACATACCTCCGAACCACTGTCACACAGCTAGCAACAGAACTTGCAACCTTCAAATGTGTCCTTGATGAAGGCAAGTCTTTGTCGGACAACTGGTACAGAAAGTTTGTCAATCGATGGCCTGAACTGTCCAAGAAGCCCAAAGGAGCCAGTGCTGTGTCTCCAGCAAGCACAGAAGTTGTGAAGAAGTATTACCAAGAGTATGTTCAAACACTGACCACACATGGTATTGAAGGTAAACCTGAGAACATCTATTGTTTAACTGTGTACGAACTGAACATCCAGAAGTATGACCAGAATCAAGGAAAGAAGAAGTGTTCTGGCAATAAAGTTTCTGATATGGTGTCCATCATCTTGTGTAGTAATGCTGCTGGGTCGTCAATTGCCCCTTTCTTTGTATTCAGTGGTGGTGCTTACAGTGACAAGCTCATGGAGGGATCTCTGCCAAACTCACAAGCCCGCATGTCACCTTCTGGGGTGATGGATAGCTCAATGTTCAAGGACTACTTCAAGAACCATCTTCTGAAGCTGCTGAAGGCAGACATGGATGTGAAGGAAGGGCCTGTGTTGGTGACATACAACGGCCACCTGATACACTTTGAAATAGAGCGTATTGAATGGGCAAGGAAGCATGGAGTCTTACTGTTTGCACTGCCACCAGTCACAGACCATCTCAAGAGCTCACTGGATTCAGAAATGAAGGATATGTTCCACCAGCTGTTCAAGCAAGAGGCCAAGAAGTACCAGAAGAAACATTTTGGAGATCCACTTACAAAGTATAATGTCTGGAGCGTTGTCAGGAAGGTGTTTCCCCAAGTCTTCACAAAAAGGATCCTGATCCGGTTCTTCAAGAACGCTGGCATCTATCCTGTTGTTCCTGAACTTGTGGACCCGGAAGTGACCTATGCAGATGTCGAAGATCTGGACGAGTCTGTGTATGATGATCTGGAGAGCACTGAAGCCTTCCTTCAAGTTCGGCTACCATTTCCCAATGTAGCAAACAGAGTTCTCTTGAGGAGAAATGGGTTGCCACTTCAGACCTCAAACAAGATGCTTGAGCGGTTTGGTCAGCCTTCAAAGAATAATGAGAAGGCCCCTTTAAAGTTGGCCACCACGGAACATTCTTATGTACATGGAGTGGTGTTGAGCCAGGCAGAGAACGAGACTGATGATACCGTGTCAGTGAAGCCAATCATTGATGTGCCTCATTCTAGTGGGCCCCTCTTTGCACCTGATCCAGCCACAAAAGGGGTTAAAATAGAAGACACAGATACTGTGGAACATGTGATCAGGGTGGTCACCACCGCCAGTCACGTGGGTGTGGAGGACCCTGTCCCTGTTATAGAGACACAGGTCGTGTCGTCAGTGGTGGAGGTGGGAACCACTGAACTTATCCCTGTTATCGACCTTGCAGGAGGCGCTGACGTAGGTGAAAGTCAAGTGCAAGAGTTCACAGTGAGGACCTCGAGTCAAGAACCTGGGTCAGAAACGGATCCTGATCAACCAGCAAGCTTACCTCGCTATGCTTATGTTGTAGATCCGGCCACAAAGATCAAATACAAAATAATGTTTACTGAATAGCTGAACAGCATCATTAACTCTTGGGTGAAACTCATTTAAATCCTGTTTATCCCTACAGCTGATTCTGTGAAAAATGTGAGTTGGATGATTATCCTTATATTTTTGGTATGACTGGATTGATCTGTTCTCATGAAAAGTGACACCTTTATCCCAAAAGTAAACTCACTGTAACCCTTAAAACATCACAACATGTGAGCCGTGTACTTTTGTGTGTGCAGGAGGTTCCACTGGTCTGTAAAGGCTAGATGTATGTGGACTGGGATGGACATTCAGCTCGCCGTGTCCCTTGCACTCTTATCATCAGCTTGCATCAAATTCACTTGTATTAAGATAAATAACATAACATAATCTTGGGTTGGTAGTTGTCTTTTCTCTTGTTTTATTTCAGTACACATGACCTTTCGTTATGTATTCAGTGGTGTATTAGAGTGGAGAAATGTGAACTTCACGTTCACACACTTCCAGTGGAGGGACTGCTCAAAGATTGCAACCAACTCAGTCATAATGTAGAGATTGTTTGTCAAAGTTAGACTTAATCTTAGCTCTTACCAATTGGGGATGGGGGAGTCATGGGTGTCCCAGTAAACTAAAATGTCTCAGGTGATGCAATTCGCCATACAGAGTTGTTTCCCTTTGGTGAGCCAGAATCTGATTTTGTCAGGGTGAATCCCAGATTGCGATACTGATTGGCCCCAATTATGAGTCTTGGTTTGTCAGCACCATAGACATGATAGAGTAGGGATCTTTACATGCTATCTACCTAGGCAATGGAACCAAGGTCTCCAGTCTCACGCGTTTGATCCCTGGCTGCGTCATACCAAAAGGCGTTAAAAGATGGTATTTGTTGTTACCCTGCATGGTGCTTGGCATTAAGGGCCTAAAACATGGACTGGCCAGCTTGGTGCCTAAGTTGGGTAGTCATGTTAAACTGTGGCATGGTATCTCAGTAGTCTATCCTATAAAATCGGCATTAGTCCAGACTAGTACAAGCAGCCACACAAACATGCATGCACATTGCTATATAAGTGCAATAATCTTTGAGGCAACGTTAAATCAGAACAGGAAATAGTCACTGGGGGCTAAGTCTGGGCTGTACTGAAGGATTGAAGTTGTATTTGTTGACGTTTATCAGCTGATGAAGACAGTGCCTCACGTGAGCAAATTCCATGATGACTATTTCCTGTGGAAGACGCTTCCAGGATGACGAGGACATAAAGGCTGCCACAGAGGCGTGGTAAGAGGGCCAATCTGCGGATTTCTATAAAAGTGGTATTAAAAGCTTGAAGGGCAAATGGAATAAGTGTATTGAGGTGAATGGAGATTATATTGAAAGATAAAAGTGCAAAAGATATTCTGCTACGTGGTCTCATATTGAAGTTGCAAAACTTATTGAACGCCCCTCGTACCACCAGCACAGGTTGCTGGGGATGAATTCTAACACAGAATAAGCAGCAATCCAGTGATCACATAAGAGAATTGGGCCAACTCTTCAGCACCTGTTGATACCATGTAGTAAGATGTCCATCTCCAAGAGTCAGCATCACTTTTATCAGTGTCTGGATGGACTGTCACACCATCTAAAACTGGTAAAAAGCGACTATCCTTGTCGTAAGAGGCGACTTACGGGATCGGGTGGTTAGACTAACTGACTTGGTTGATGCATATCATCATCTCCTAATGGCGTGGATGGATGCTCATGTCAATCACTGGATTGTCTGGTCGATTATTTACCGACAGCCGTCATACAGCTGGAATATTGCTGAGTGCGGTGTTTAAACAACCAACCAACAAACCTTGATTTATCCCCTTAATGCTGAGCCACAGGCAGAGAAACAAGAAACTCATAAACCATTCAGTATTTCTTCTTGAAACTTTGAATACACATCAGGCATGCACAGTGCCTTTTGCTGTTCAGGAATTGTTTAAAATTTTATGATTTGCGTTGCCAATGCAGCAATTTGTACATAGGTTCAAATGAGGGTAGGGTCCATTTCTAAAGCATAACTCGTCAATGGCTAAATATTACCTTGTAAAACTTTGTATCAGGCAAGTGCTGAACTGGTGAATTTTGCCATTCAGGAGTTTGACAAATTTTTCTTTTTATTGCATTTCCAAGGCAACAAGTTGGAATTTGTTCAGAGTACAACTAGAATATGTTCAGTGTGTCTTGATGAAACCTTGTATTCACATCACACCTCACACACCATATAACGTGCGTATTCACAGCAACCTGTATTTGTTAACAGGCCAAGACCGTATGTTTGTTTGTTGTTTAACTCCACAACTCCCATATGATGGCAGCCTTTAAGTAATCAAGTCTGGACCAGATAATTCTGTGATTCTTATTTATGATCAATGATCCATGCCATCGGGGTGCAACGACATGCTATCAACCAGTGGCTGAGCCTCTTGCTACCTCTTAGTGAAGACCAGTTCTAATTTGGTGTGGCTGGTGCAGAACATTCATGATGCACAAAAACAACAATACAGTCTCTATCATCTTTTGGTTTTATTCATAGGACTGAGCAAAATAATGACCCACATAAAGTGAACATATTGTATGTAGGTATAACAATTTCCTTTTAGGTGGACTTTCTTAAAGTAATCTTCCCCATACAAAGAATACGTTTTCAAGAGGCAAATCTATGAAAATCTTGAAAAACTGAAATTTAATCCTCATTATGCTTGCAATCAAGCCTCCCTACCACCCCCCTTTCACTCACTCACACATAACACAGGGCATACATTCTTTAAAATTATTCAATATTTACATCAATTTGTAAACACATTCTAAAAAACATTGAATGTACAATCAAGGTTATTAAATATAGTGCACAAATACCCTGAAGCACTGAATTATCTTTTAAAATTGACAATGTATTGAAACACATTTCATCGAACTAATAAAAATTTGCCTGCAAGATACAATTCAAAGACTTCACAAAATGAAATACCAATCTGATACATCAATATCCTTTGTGACAATTCAATTGTAGTCTATATCTTTCATATCAAATGTGCCAAAAAGTGCTTGGTCACAAGCTAGAATAAATATTGTTTTGAAATAAACACATCTCAGTAACTCCTCCGACTAACAATGTCGACAACTTTTCTGATAACCTTTATCCCTCTATTATTTGTAATACACAGCATGCTAAACAATTTCACATTGATCAAGGTGTATAAATTATTTGCATTTAAAAATAATGTTCCAATGGATTACATCCTTTTCACTGATAGCGATATCCCAAATATACCTTGTAACCTCAGATTATCATACATCGATTGCTTGATGTTTCTATGTAAATTGTCTCACACAAACACAACATACAGCCAAGGTCATTTGCTCGAAACCTAAAATGGCAATTAATCTCAGAATCCAAAGTCAAATACCTTGGCTACCCAGTAAACATCACAGGGCCTAAGAATCACACACACACCAAGAGCAGCAGTCCTTCGAATTTGAACTTCGCTTCAAACAAATTCTGCTATGTTCAAACACTTTCCTTCGCAGTTCATTTGATATTGACTGAAAAATGAAAGTAATATGACTCCCTTTATCCAAGACGTGTATTGTAACGTGTAATTCACTCTTAATCTCTCTCAAACAGCATTGTCTCTGTACAAGGATCACACCTCTCAACAAGCAGATTGTATCGAGATCATTTTTACACTCAAGCACACAACTGAGAGCATTTTCCCACTCCCATGTACACTTTCTCCACAAACACACTTTATTGAGAGTATTTCCATTCACCCAACACAAAGTATTCTGAATCAACTGGCATAAAGCATCTATCACTCATTGTGTGCCAGAGCAATAGCTCCAAATTGCTTGTGTTTCATTGTGATGGCGCCAGCCCCAAAACAGCATAGAAGAGAAACCACAACCAGTCAACGACCATTCTGAAATAATGTCCCCCATGTTTGTCAAAAGCAAAAACATTATTCCAGATCTGAAATGGTTCCTTTCTCATGAAGAAGTGATACATACTGACACACACGAACAGGAAGGGCATTCAGTCGTGTCGCGGAAGCTGCTCCACTCTACATTCCCATCAGTTGCACACCCTGCCTGCTAGATACCAAACCACAAAGAAACATTGTCATAGGATCAACAGCAGCATTATTTTCTCGTTGCAGATTACACCTTCATGCTGTACCTTGACACACAGTCCCTTCAACAACAGTCCAAGGTGTACACAGTTGATTTGCAGCCATCCTTTGAGACTTAAAATGTTTAGAGAAAGTTTGCTATTGTTACAGTGGAAGACGAGAACAATGGATTGGCACATTGTGCCTATTACTTTCCAAATTGAACCCTGGTATTCAGTTATTTTCACATGATACCCACCACCTGAAGATTGAAGGAAATCCTGCCCAACAAGTGCAAGGGCAGCAAAATTCAAGCCACTACATAAGGCAACTTCAGTTCTACTGTACTTGAGTATATACAGATCAGGTCAGTGCTAGGTTTGGTGGTGAACCAGGTTTAGAAAACAAATGTAATCAAGTGACCACACAAGTCTCCATGGTAATGTGTAGGCAAACAGGGCAGTGGGGTCAGTGGGCAGTCAGCTGTACAAGGGTGGAACTGAAAGGTCACAATATCCATCACCATATCTGATTCACAATACAGTATGTATTGCTATACAACATAGACGTTTGGTGTGACAGAGTATGTTTTCTGCTGCATCAGCTATTTTGTGGATACCTTCATTAGGATTCATATTTCCTACTTTTGTACACAGATCTGACAGGTTTTGTTCTAGCAGGGGTATGACGGTAACTTGTGTTGTTTACTTACTTGAGTATTATTTATTACCTGTACAGAAAGATTTGCAACATGTACAGTAACAACATATTCCAGAAGCCAGAAGTACACAGGTTCGGCACACATGGACAACATGCCTGACGTAAAGATCATTTGCTTCTGATTATTAGAAAATCCAACAGAAGAATTACATAATACCATATTCCCCGTAATCACCCTGGGCACTTAGAAAATTGACAAACGGTGGTGCTCATCAAAACCATACAGAAGTAAAAATTGTTTTCAGAGATTGCATGGTAGTGAGAAAACCTAGTTCAAACGTTCATGAAACTATAATACGTCGGTAATATACAAGGCAATTATACCCCCCCTCTGAACTGCTGTTTTCTGTAACCATATCTGTAATATACACAATATGGACTGTCATGTAAATATGTTTTGTAAGGGGTACTCATAAAGATCCATTACAGATTGGACCAGAAGTTATTCAGGGGGGGCTGAAAGGAGCTTAACACGGCAGATATGGTTTGTGACACAAACTTTGTGTCCTATTTCATCCCAAATGGTAGCGAAGTCATCTTGACTACAGAATCCTATGCATGACATCCTGTGACAGTGAACTTGATTTCTCTTATATAGAACATGCAATCAATCTTGCTCATGGCTCATGCAGAATTGTGGTCTTTTAAAACTGGCTTTCCAAAGAAAAAGAGATCAGTTGCATTTTATAAAGACAGGGAGAGTTCTTGATGGAATACATGATGCCGTATGTGCAGGTTGATGCTGACAAACACATTGTCCAGGATGTTATTTCCCATACTTTTGAAAATTTCAGTAAACCAAGATTTATTCCTGTTACAAATGTTACTTTCAACCATTTCAATTGCTTTCAAAATAGACACTCTTCAAGTTTCACAAACAACTTAATCTTCTGTTTAATCAATGAACCATCAATTATGTCATAAGCTCATTGATTTGCATAAGTGATATGAACTCTCCCTGACCAGTGTGTCTTTCGAAGTCAACATCCCACATTATGATACACTGGACAAGACAAGTACACACACATACACAGAGTACACACACGCACACACATACAGCATAATACCAAGTAAATGCAGACTGGACATTCATGAAGAATGACAATATCATGTAAGCTTTGAAAAAGAAACCAAGGCAAAATGAATACATTCGAGACAAAGTTTATATGCAAAAGCATTAAAATTCTCAATGTCAGAGCTGTAACATCTTATCATCAGTGTGGGCTCCCATGCTGCCACTGAGTTGATGGCTGATAAAAGTTATATAATTGAATGATACCACTTGATCCTTCACCACCATCCACAAAATGAAAACTTGACCTCTCATCTTGTCACACAGGATGCAAGTACTTCTGATGTTCTATACTTGTAGAGGCTCAACCTGAACTGGGCTTTGTTCCATGAAGTGAACTTAGCACTATGGCAGTCCAAACTCTATGCCTAACCATGAAAGTGATGATAGTCGTAGCCTTATAATCACTCAAGAACAGTGCCACGAAGGGAAAGACTTGGAACTGTCTGGATAGGAGAAACTGTTCACAAATAGCTGATCGACACTGGATTGTTTCAAGTCTGCAATATCATATGTACACAATATCTATGTTGTTTAACAATGAACTGAAATTGTGAAGCTCTTAACCATGACCAGAGTAGAACTAAGTCCTTTCATTACCCTGTGCAACCAAACAGGCTGAGGTGTCTTATAATGGATAGCCTACACCCAAGCTTTGCATGGGGGTGAGAAGAACAATATTGACCAAGGGTAATAATCACTAACAAAAGGGTGACAAAGGTGTTTTAGATGGTTGAAATTAAGCATAAAAACCAAGGAGTCTTTGTCATAACCCTAATGTTAAAAGCCATACACCAAGGGGTCCGCACATTCCAGTACTACAAATGTACAAATCTCGAGGACCCCCTGGATTGGGAACACCGGTGTTTCAGCCTCACCTGTCTATGGCTGTGTTACCTAAAAGACTACGTCAGGGGACTGCAGTTTCCTATTGAGGTATCTTAATTAGTTCACCTTGTGCATATTGGGACAAATGCTGTAAAACTGTATATGTCAAAGTTGCAACTATTCAAAATCAAATTTGGCAAACGTAGATGCATAGTGAAACATTGTATGAACCGGTCATGCAAGTGTTTCTGCAAGATGACACACTAAATATCCAGACAACAAGTACATCACCACATTGACTAGGAGTATTCTTGCCCTATTTCAATTTGAAAATTTGAATTCATTTTTCATAACTCCAATAACATTTCTTGTACAGACTCACACCCCTTACAAAGGAGCAACCATTAGAATGTCATGCACAAATGAACACAGTTGAAAAGCAAAGCTTGAATTGTTTTTCAAGGTGGCATTAAAATCACATTATTTGAATATTTTAACCTCTCTGAGATATGGTTTAACATAGACCCCAAGGACATAGAATTGATAAACCATGGACATATCTTTGATACAACATGGACATATCTTTGAAAAACCATGGACATATCATTGATACAAAAAAGACATATCTTTGATACACCATGGACATATCTCTGATATACCATAGACATATCTTTGATAAACCATGGACATATCTTTGAAAAACCATGGACATATCATTGATACAACAAAGACATATCTTTGATATACAATGGACATATCTTTGATACACCATGGACATATCATTGATATACCATGGACATATCTTTGATACACCATGAAAATATCTTTGATACATCATGAAAATATCTTTGATGCACCACACATATCTTTGATTCATCACAGACATATCTTTGACACACCATGGGCATATCTCTGATACACCATGAACATGTTTAACACAACAAAGACATATCCTTGACGTACACAGAAATATATTTGATACTCCATGGACATATCCTTGATAGGCCACACAGGCTTATCTTTGATAACCACATATCTTTGATAGACCAGTCACAAATCTTTAATGTACCACAGACATATCTTTGATTCGGCAATGTCATACTGTAAATGGGTATGATAAAGGAAATGTGGTAACTACAAAATAATTGCTACAAAAATATTATTCATTTTCATCTTCTGAGGGTTCACTGTTTGCTCCATCAGTCTGTGTGCCGGCCGTGCGGCGTATCCCACGGGTGAGAGTCTGAGTGGCAATGCTGCTGGTGCGAGACTGTGGAAGACCCAACATAGACATGAGATTCATTCGTATTGATGTCCCCTCACGACCTGATCCACTGTTGTTATTGTCAGAGTTTTCTGGAAATTCCTCAGAGGCTCGAAGTGTTGCCTTTTTCACTCTGAAAAGAAACATAGTGATTCTGTTCTTTTAAATGTGCATCCCATTGATAGAATCTTGTTAGTATAGACTGATAATGAGAGGGTCTTTTTTAACAGATTAGAGCCAAATGGGACAAGGCTGGGATTCCCTTCTATAATAAGCAAGCAGGCCTCAAAGTGTTAGCTGAAAGTTACACATGTATCAATAACAAGCTTGTTTCCTGAGAGGAATTTTCCTCATGTCTAGATAACAACTCTTTGAGTGAGTCTGACCACCCAATCCTGTTAGTCAGGCATGAGTTACTTTATAGCCGTGCAGTCTCATCTACGCATACAATGATTCTGAGGTAGCCGACCTCTAGCTTGACAGCCTACACTTACCCGTGTCTACAGATATGCAGGTCTCCCCTGTTGGTGCCATACACCAAGCCTTCCCCTACCCCACGTAGCCATCGGGCCGAGTTCACGCTCACATGTGTACGGATGTCCATGTCACATGGGTGAAATACGTCACTGACATGCTGAAATATTTAGAAAGAAAAAACTGTCAACGCCAGAGAATAACCAGTTTCAATTATCTGACAAAACAGCCTCCATTGGAAATAAAAGGCAAAATAACAGTGAATATTATACTAAAGAATCCTTGAAAATCAGTGATTATACCAAGTGGTCATGTCATTGACATACACAGTACATTACCGTACATATGACTGCAGATAAGCCATAAAGATCGTGGAGTTTATGAAGAACGATAAACTTTGAACATTCAATTGAAAACTTATGATCGGAAATAGAAACATGCATAAATTTTTTTGATAATGACAACATTAGCACATAATAATAACTTTATTGATCATTTATAACAATAATGGCTGTAGTTGTGGCAACTTCCAAACTTTCGGGAATTTGTAATATATCGGACCGTCATTCAGGCGATGTTTCTGACAGATCACGATCTGAAAAATACTATCATGAAAGTGTATCCCGTGGATAAGCCGACCCCTTTGTACAGAATCTTTTTTTCTGATCCTCAAAATTCGGCTTATCTGCGGTACATCTCTGACATTGTGAAATATTGGGCAGTATAACCACAATAAAAGGATAATTGGTGCAATTCACTGAGAGTTATAATTTCTGCTTCATGCTGACTGGCTTATTCATGCCGATTGCTTGAAAGGCAGCCCATAGCAACATGAAGTTATATCAAAACATTATTGCAAAGGATTAAAGATGATGTCCTTCACTCTTATGAATAGACTGACTGACCAGATGTCTTCACTAATCGTGAAACCCACATTTTTCGTCATTTCTCAGAACAAAAGAGCTTGAGTAATATTCATAAAGCATAATCTACTCCCAACTTAGAACTATTGATAATCTGTCCCTCGTAAAATAATACAGACAGTCACTCAGTAAGGCTTAGGACAAACGCAAGTAATTCACTCAAGACAAATAATCTGTAATTCCTCCTGGCTAGTAGGTTATCCCTGACAGGCTGACACATACAGTATGATAAATGTACACTATGATATGTAACTAACATGATGAAATAACCAGGATTACATGCTGAAAAACACTGCCTGACAAGAAAACAGCGTTAGCTGCGTTATCACTATCCCCCTCCATGGGGCAAATAGAACTTTGTTGGTTCACATAGTAGTTAATATAAACTATAAAAAAAATCATATAAAGCCTTAAAAAGAGGTAGCCACTTAGGCTGCTCTATGTCATCAGAAAAATGTATTAAATGTAAAATTAATACACACTAAAGACCCCTTCTTTGGAAAAAATAACTCAGTCTTGATAAGTATCTCTTAGATAAGATGCAAAAACTTTCATTCAAGTAACTTCAGTAGTCTGTGAAAACTTGTCCCCATTGCACACAGTATGTACTAAGTTGAACAGCACAGAGAAAGGACCCTAACTCACTTAAAAAATAAATGAGGGGACAAATTTTCGAACTCAGTCTTGACAAGTATCTCTTAGATAAACTTGCAAAGTTCATTTATGTAATGTCAGTAGTTGCTGAGGAAACCTGTCCACATTTTCACACAGTATGCACTAAGTTGAAAAGCATGAAGCAGGGCCATAACTCTGTAAAAAATGAATGTATGACACCAATTTTCAAACTCATTCAGATTGAGACCAGTAACATGAGTGTGTAAAATTTAATTTCTCTAACTTGAATAGTTTTTGACAAAATTTGTCCCCTTTGAGAAGCAGACAAACGGACTCCATTCCTATATAATGTCACTGACAAACTATACCGCATCACATGTCTGTATCAACCCTTCCATGTACTGTACATCAGTAGCACTCTTACCCTCATTGAGTTCTCCCCGGCACTCTTCTTATCAAGTTTATACACCTGGGCAACCAGCTGAAACAGACCATAACACTGTAGTTAGACAAAACAACAGGAGCTCAATGCATATAACATACCTACATGTTACTTTAGCATTAATTAAGGCATACTATAGAATGCTCGATTTATATCATAAGTATCATATTTCCATTCAAGAGTTAAAGTGATATCTTGCAATTGCACCCTTCAATACAGGCGCAAACTCAGTTGTAGCTCGCAGTAACCATGGTAACACATGGCTCCCAAAATTATGTACATTGTAAATAAACTCATTACACTGAAACAATGTTTTTCCCCATCGAAAAAAACATCAGCTGAACACTGCGAGCACCTAACACAGGAAATATCAGTAAACAAACCCGAACTGAAGTGAGTGAGTATGGTTTTACACCAGCTTTAAGCAATATTCAAGCAATATTCACAGCGAGGGACATCAGAAATGGGCTTCACACATTGTAACCCATGTCAGGAATCGAACCATTGTTGCAGTAATAGCATATCAACATAATTATGCTAAACGATACGTAAATCACACCGCTTGCATAAGCCCTATCTGTTCTTATTTCAGAATAAGTGTGTTTGTTTACAAACAAGTGAAAAGTCCAGTCACGTGAGAAAGCTATACCTATACCTGTTGTCACTGGAGCAAAAATGGAATAAGGTGAGGAGAGCAGAGTAAGCTCAGGGCTTATCAGCTATTGTTTTACAAACAAAGCTTCACAACGGTCAACGTCCTGGCCCTTTAATCTCTGCATATAAAACAATGCCTTGGAGAGAAGAAATAGTGATGTTTTATCTCAATCATCAATTTCTTTCATTGACATAGTGTGTCATAACTACATTTGCTGAAGGGATACAACATTGCCTTGTACTGCACATAACACTTTATAAATCTTTGTTGCACTATGAATCATAAACAACTACAATACACTAATCTTATTTCAAACTCTGATATGCAACATGCAGCATAAATCTTGTTAGGTAGTCTGAGCATGTACTGTTGTGTTGGTCATGTATCCCCTAAATCTCCACCTCGGTCAAACCGCTGATCAACCATAATGCTCATCAATTATTTGGACCCCAAAGGTGGCATAGTAGCAATGGATCACTGTATTGACCAATTCTTCATGATGGTCATTTCAATTCCACCCAAACCATGGTTTGGATTACTTCTGGTGAGTTGCTGTGCCCTACCTGGTTAGATGTGAACACCCAGGAAAGTCTCTTGGCAGCGAGTCCCACCATCACACACTGGTTCCGTGGAGACATGCTCACAGATATAGCATTGGGCCCTGGAACCATTAAAAACATGTCACCAATTGCATCACATCTTTATGGTTTGGGATATTTGCAGGAAGAGTCTGCAAGGGAATGGTGAACTTCAAGTGTTTTCAAACACATTTGTAAGTTTGGATTGTATTCAGAATTAGGTAGCTTACAAATAAAAACAGCTGTATCATAGATTAAGTAAGTAAGCAAAAAACATTCATGAAACATTAACAGTAAAGCAGGTAACAGCTGATGATTGGACTTTCAAAGTGCAGTCTAGATCCATTGTGACTACAGGATCCCCATCCATAGATAGAGGACCAGGGCCAGCCCTTTGTCCTTCTGACAGTACAGTTTTATCCCAATAAAGTACAGTCTATCTTAGAGCACTGGTAAATTCTCGAGCTCCACGAACTATACACTGTCAATCACACAAACTCCACCATTCACATTTCAAGCAGATTGCACGATTTCATATAAACTATACGTTTCGTGCAGTCAAGTGTTTGTTGCTTAAGGCTCGTCATGCTGAAATGTACACGTTTCACAAAGCACGAGAATTTCATGTCTCTATAACCTGTATACTTGACAGAACTTCATCAGCATATCAATGTACTCCACCTGACCAACACAGTGACCACCCATTGGACAAAAGTATTTGCCTGTGCTTTAACCCCTCTTTCAGTTAGCATCATGGGTACCTATCCTCTTGAATCTCAACAGGTTCCCAAGTTCATGAAATGGCAATATTCAAGGTAACAATGGATGCATTCTAAAGTATGAGAGAAATACTAAGCTACATGAACATGTTATAGATTTCTTCGTCTGAGGTGTCTTCACCCTTGATCAATTGACAGGTAAATCTCACTCACCAAAACTTTTAGTAAAAAGACATTGAGCAAAGGAGTCTGGATGCAGTGAGAAGACAGCCAGGATGTTGTCATCAGGGAAACCACGGTGGCTGGGGACGAAGGTTGCAAGGAAGGTTGCATCCTGAGATATATCACAACTGGCATCATTATGAAGCTTGCAGTGAGGCACCACGATGTTGGCTTTTGCTGAAGAAACAATGATAGACATCAATGGAAATTTCATGCCAATGAATCGCAAAGTGAATGCTCATGAAGTCTTAAATGTCCAAATACCAGTATATTCCAAAAATATCAGCAACCTCAAGATGTTCACTATACAGGTGTTACTTATGAACACATTATGACGAGTCACTGGAAAGTCTACTGTCTACGGTGTTTATGGGTGAGTATATGTCAGCTTCTTCAGGAGAGGTTCATACCAATGTGACTCACGAGTGATATTAGTGATATCAAGATTTTCATTTTTTAAGCAGTAAGTATGAATGAAGGAGAGTCAAAAGAATGTCTACTGTATGGCTGACATAATTTCTATAGCGGAGATGTGTACTCACACTGACTTATGTCCGGGATCTCACACTTGGTGAAGTCCCAACGCTGTATGCGATGTGTCTGAGGGATGATGTTACTTGCCACTGCAGGCTCCCCTGTTCCCATGAAAGCTCCTGAAATGTTCATTCCATGTCCTATGAATTATGAAATACAAAATCAATTACATACAATGAATACCACTGAAATAGAATCTAGTGGAAAAGATGGTGAAAATAATTGTAGAATTTTCCTATTCGGAATATTCTATAAGTAATACGTTACCACGGTTATACCGAGGCTGTTGACCCCCACAACTGCTCTTATAGCGAAATCTTCCACAGAGATATCAATCACCTCATGCAGCACGTGCGTAGCCACCTAGCTGCCATGTGACACCCTTTACTCTTGTCTCTTGCGAAAGCAAGTGCTCGGGGGACGGACGGGCGGGCAGCAGCCCAGTGGTAACGTATTACTTATAGAATATTCCGAATAGGAAAATTCTACAAATTACATTAAGGAATACGTTACCACTGTTATACCGAGGCTGACAACCACAGTAGGCGGTGGGGAGCACCTACAACCCGAAACCTGACTGCTCGTGTTTCTTCCGACCAGCGGAAGTATACAACAAGGCGGAAGCACTCGATGCGCATGCTCCCAGCTTGGCGTTACCATATAGGGATACCAAAGCACTGTCAAGCGCATACCGTAAGGCTCAATTGTTATTGACAAACGATTGGTGACTCCAAACGGCCCCACTGGATAGGTATTTCATCGCCGCAGCGGATGAGAACACAGTATCCATGTGAGCTGAATCTTAGATCAGGTTAAACAGTCGAAAAGAGGGAAATTAATTTCATTCGGACCGTATATCCCAAGAACAAGCCTACTTAAGCGTATGTAATAGGCGCGTGACCTAAATTCAATATTTGAAAGCATGCATTACAAGGTTGCAATACACGACAGACAATTAAGTACATAATTGTCAATTCAAAATAAAGAAACACACAGAAAGCCGCACTCACCTGTGGATGAGCGCGCTGGCTTGTGGGACCCCCACTCCCGTACCCACGGCTGTGAGAACGCTGGAGTAGACCCAGATTGACAACCGTGCAAGGTCTGAAGCCTGAGGAGTTCGGAATTGCGCCAGGCACACCCCTTAGATGACTGCTTGTGCCGTTGGCGGGTAAGCATAAGCGTCCATGCCCGTCCAGTCTAACGCGAGAGCATCGTGATCGATGGCCCTCGGGTCCGGGACTGGTGATACAAACAACGGGAGTTGATTGTTGAACCGTGTTGCGAACAGGTCGACCATCGGACGACCCAAACGTTCGCACAGCCACTGAAACACTACTTGGTTAAGCATCCACTCCGTGGGGCTCGGATCCCAAGGCCTCGATAGAGCGTCGGCCAGTACGTTCCGCACACCTGGGATGTGACGGGCGCGTATCTGGCACGGGACACTGTCCACCAGAGCGGAAAACTCGAACGTGAGATCGAGTAGCAAGTGACTGTGGGTTCCCCCCAGTTTGTTCACATAGGACACTACCATCGTGTTGTCGGTGCTAGCATGAGCCAGGCGCCGACGAGACGATGCTTCCAGTGATTGACTGTGTTTATCACTGACTTGAACTCGAGGCAATTGATGTGAAGACCTAGTTCGTCTACGCCCCAGTCCACTAGAGAGGCGTCTGTATACAGGTTCAACGTGGCCCGGAAGGGCCGCATAGAGACTCCTGATAAGACGTTGCAAGGGACCGTCCACCACTCCAAATGCGGCCAGAGCTGATCCGGGAGGGCGACGGTCGCACTGTTCTCCTCCTGTGCTAACAACACGATTAGAAACCGTTGCAGCGGGCGGAGTTGGAGACGACCCCGATCGGTGCAGTCCTGGGCTGACACAAGTAGCCCTAACAGCTGTTCCCAAAAGTGAACAGTCTGTTGCACTGCTAAGACTTTGGCAATCATCACCTGAATCTTGTGCCACCGGTCTGGGGGGACAAAGAGGCGATGGGTCACCGTGTCGAACCGACCTCCGATGAACTTTAAGTTCTGTGAGGGGGTTAACTCGCTCTTGGCGAGATTGACAATCCACCCCAATTGCTCCAAGAGCGAAGGGCGAAATCGAGTTGGCGTGACAGGGTGTCCGTCAATCGATTGGCCACTAGCGAGTCGTCCAGGTACGTGAAGTACCTGACACCCCTCCTGTGGAGGAACCCCACTATGGGGGTGGTTAACCGGGTGAACAGCGAGGGAGCGGACGAAAGGCCGAATGGGAGTACAACCCACTCGTAGGGCCTGCCTTGAAAGACAAACCTGAGTTACTTGTTATGGTCTGAGTGAATTGGAACATGCAGATAAGCATCCTTCAGGTCGATTGAAGCGAGCCAGTCGGCCGGCATGATCAGAGCTTTCAGGTCCGCCAAGGTCAACATTCTGAACTTGGGCGGCTTGTGCAGGTAAAACTCGTTAAACGATTTCAGATTGTGAATCATTCTGAGTTCGGCACTGTCCTTCTTGGGAACGAGAAATATCCTGGAGTAAAACCCCGGTGTTCATTCTGGTAGAACTAACTCCCGTAACGCCCTCTTCTCCACCAACCTGCCGATGGCATCGGCGAGGATGCGAAGATCAACTTCCGAATAGAAACCTTCAAACTGGGGCGACGGTGAGCGGCGGATCCGCTTTGAGATCTAGCCGATAGCCGTACTGGATCGTGTTGACCACCCACGGGTCGTCGAACACTTGTTCCCAATTCTCCCAATAAGTCTGGAGTCTGGCTCCGACAGGGGAAGGGAAGGGAGGCCTGACAGGCTGCGGCAGGCGCAACTGTCCAGGGCTGAATGACTCAGGTTCGCAGACGGGCCAACCGAAGCTGGCGTTGTCGGCACACAAACCTTGCAAGTGAGAGTCATTCGGAGGAGCCCTTACCGTCCCGAGATGTTGCCCTTACCGGGGCCCTCAGGGCGGGACCTATTCCCGGAGAAAGAAGACACCGACCCCTTGGACTTACCGGCCGCAGCATCCTGAGGGGCACTCAGTTTAGGGGCACCACCCAGGCGTCTGTGCAGAGACCCAACCAGATCCAACGTATGCCGCGAAGCCGCGGCAGACGAAGCAGACTGCTGTTCTTTTAGAACACCAGGGATCCGATTAATAAACAGGGTCTGCGCAGACCAAGGCTGCGAAAGTAACACCTCTCGGTTGGCGGCGTCCAACCCAGAGGCGGCAAGGTACGCTTGCCGCCTTAAGAAATGGCACGTGCCGGAAAGAAAGGCCGAAGCCCCGGCAACGTACTCAAGGGTTGCATTCAAACCGATTAAACAGTTATAAATGCGCTGGTCTCGGTCTGTGGGGGAACCTTCGACCAGACTGGCCGCCGCCGCAAAGTAGGTGTCGCCATGTGACATAGCGAGCATGGAGTGCCGAGAGAGGGTGTCCATTTGCTGTAAAGTCGCTTGAGTGACTGTAGCAGCAGGTTGGGCACGGTCACCCAACCTCTCCACATGGGCCTCCGCGGTAGGACCTGCCTCTGGGGAGGCCAGGTCATGCACCGGGAACGAACCCTTTCTCCACGACGGAGGAGGTAACGGGAGTCCCCGACCGGAGGCCGCCGCGAAGGCTTTCTCCAAAGACGGCTTGATATCTTTGAACAAAAAGCAAAACATGGTTACAACACACACACCAAACATATTCACAAACATAGATTTTCCGAAGAAAAACAAACGATAATAGCGATAACATAAAATCCATATATTATAGAGATACATATATATATTAATAGGTGATGCAAAAAACACCCCACGATTTACCACTAAAGGTGGATGGAAAACACAAAGTGCCGACGCCACACCCCGTTAGTAGCGAAAAAAGGCGGGAAAATTTTCTAAGCACCGCATAACAAACGCCCCGTAAATTACAGTTTACTTAGGACTAAGAAACAGTTATAAATATCACCAAGGATAGCAGGAGGCTGGTAGAATGCAGAGCAGTCAATATATACGTCTTGCGAAGGCAAGCGAAGAGACAAGAGTGAAGGGTGTCACATGGCAGCTAGGTGGCTACGCACGTGCTGCATGAGGTGATTGAGATCTCTGTGGAAGATTTCGCTATTAGAGCAGTTGTGGGGGACAACAGCCTCGGTATAACAGTGGTAACGTATTACTTAATGTAATTGTACAGTTAAACATTGTTAACACAGAATTATCTAGACAATCATAAATATCAAGAATCAGAAATGTTTTGGAGTGCATCGTCATCGGAAACAATATAATATCGACATAATCGTTTGTGAGTTAACAAAGATTCACTGGTGTTATTTTTTCAAAATGTCATATATCACTACATTTACAAAGAGAGTAAAGTTGGAAATATATACAAAATAAGATACTCTACAAGCAGAACCTCACTTAATGGCATCAATAGAAAGTGAATATATCATCATTTTCAAAATTAGTGCATTTGAAGAGCAGAAAGAGTCTTCCAATTATATCACAGCATGCCAGCTTAATGTGAGATGAAAGCCCAAAGTATGGAGAAAGGTTGTAGACATTTATAATTTAGATGAACACATGACTTTTCGAACATTAGCAGGCTTTTGGGCTCCTTGAGATCTGCTCCTGTGGTATTTGAATCTAAGGACACCCTAAATCTTTAACTCTTAACATCAGTATTAAGTAAAGGACTCTTTGACTGTCATTTCAAACACAGCATGGGCATAGCACCAACCATAGCACAGGGATTTGAACTCACAGCCGGCTTAGGCAAACATGTTCCTTAGAGCTTTAGGAAAGTGCAACTTGTGTATTGTATTACCCACCTGCTATAGCTCTGTTGATGGCAGCATGAAGGGCATCATTTGGCCTGTTGAGGGTGTCGTCCAGGATGCTGACAGAGTAGTGAGGGTGTAGGTGGCGCTGCTGTAGGGCATGCCAGCTCCGGTCTTCCTGGTAGGCATCCTCTCGTGATGGAGTCACACGGACACTGCATAGAGTGAGTGAGTTGGATTTTATGCCACTTTTAACAATATTCCAGCAATATCATGTCAGGGCACTTCAGAAATAGGCTTCACACATTGCACCCATGTGGGGAATTGAACCCGGGCCTTCAGTGTGACAAGCGAATGCTTCAACCACACCGCCCGACACTGCGTAGACAATAATCAAGTTAGTTCAAACTAATTTTACCTTTGTGCAATTTATATATGAACATCAGTTGTTTTAACCTGTGAGTGGCCCACTGCAAGTTGCATTACTGGGAACCCATTAGACAAACTATCAGTGTTTTAATTTAGGAACTGCTATTGTAGTATAGTTACCTTGAAACACTTGGGGGTGGTAGTGGAGGTTGAGTGACAGTAGACTGTTGGCTGTCTCCTCTCAGAAACATCTCTAGAAGGTGGGTATTTTGACCACTTCCTCGAACTACACAAACAAACACAAATCATTCTAATGTCTACAATCATCCTTACTCCAAGGAATATAGCAGTTTATCAGCACTTAACTTTCTGAATTTTTTACCAAGGGAAGGTAACTCTGACCTGCAATCCCCTGACAGTACAAACTGCACTGCACACATCATCACATCATTGCAGGTCAATCTACACTAAAAGGAACTTTTTTGTGGCCGTAACATTTGGCCCTGAATCTATGATTAATGACTTCAAGATATAAACAAAGAGATATTTTAACTTAATATAGCATACATATTTCTCCGACCTACTGACCTGGTGTTGAGTTGCTATAGGCAGAAGGTGTGTGAGAGAAATCACCCTGATCCCGTGGCCTTGTGATGGTGATGAGAGGAACATGCTGCGAAGCTTGCCCTGATGTCACTGTCGGTGCCACAGACTCCACGCCTTCAGGAGAAGACTGGTTGGAGATTCGACCTCGAAGGTTGAGAATCCTCTCCCGATCTTGATGTAAAGCTCGCAGTCTTTCTGTGAACCTCTCCCGCAAAGCAGTGATCCTACGATCCAGTTCTGTCACTTGTCTTTCTAACCTTATTGTAAGGGAGGTTAAATCTTCCCGTCGCGAACCATCGGTAGGAAGATCTTGAGTGATTCTGGAAAGAACACTTGAAGTGGTGTGAGACGGGTTGTTGTTTTGATCACTATCTTCCAATACATTTCCTATATCACTATGTCCTGCAGCTTCACCAGCTGACTCTGCCCCAGCTGCCGGCTCAGTCTCCTCCACCAAGCCTTCCACACTCTCCATCACCGAGTCCTGCTCAGCCATAGCTTCATCCTCATCACGTGGCGAATCCTCAATGCCTGCCCGATTAACCGGGCGCCGAGCATCTTCACTGAGACCAATTACATCTGTGCCCTGGTCAGAGCACTCTGGAAGCTCCATAGTTCCGCTGGTCTGACTAGTGCCATCTGTGGTGAGGGTCCTCTCCTGGCTGCGAGAACTGGAGTTACGAGAAGACTGAGAAGTTTGATCGGCAGTGGATTCGGATGAATTGCGATTTTGTTGAAACATCATCATATTAAGGAGCCTACTAGTGGAGGCCACGCTGGGCCGACTTCTGGGGATGACAAGTCCCGTTGAAGTGGGCATGGGGGTTGGCAAGGACCAGGTTGTCTGATGACCTGTTGTAGAAGAACTGCTAGTTGTTACTGGCTGGCTGTTGTTGTTCACTATGCTGGGGTTCAGTGTTCTACATATTGCACAAGGGGGATGGGAAGAAGAGTAGGAGGAAGGGGTTGTGTTTGTCTCAGTCATTCGGCTTGTGCGAGGGACTTCACGGAACGCACTGCCGGTAGGTCTTGAGCGAAGTCGGTTTAAAGAAGACACATAAGGGGAAGACACAATACTATTAGGTCCTGAGACTGGTCTTAAGGAGCTTGAAGATAAGTGTTCAAATCTTAGACCAGATCTCAGATTAGCACCAAAACTCAATGTTCGAGGGCCAGCTCCAGATGTAGGGGGATTGGAATCTGAACTACCACTCCTTCTCAGATTCATCCAGTTACTACCACCAGAGCTTCTAATAGAGTTCACAGACATGGCACTGCTGCCCCGCGAGTATTCATTTGGAAATAATGGAGGACGTAGAGCACTAGCACTAGTAGTAGGTCGCACTAACAGGGGCCGTTGAGCACCAACTTCAGCCATCTCAGACAGCTGTGGAGGAGTTGTTGCCCCTGGTGTTCCTGATCGCAAGTCCATGTCCTCCTCTTCAACAGAGGGCCATACTCTGGGTGGAGGACTCCATGTCCCAGGCTGTAGACTGTGCAGTGTCGTGAACCTCCGCAGCTCGTGAAGGGGGTACGGGTTGTTTCTCCTTCTACTGGAAATGCTGGATACGATGTCCCGAGCGTGCCTGGTGGTTTCTGTGATAGAGGAGGCATAGTTTCCTGCCCGCCGGAGTCTCTGCTCAACCTGTGAGGAATAGTGCCTCCCCAGTAGGGAGTTGCTCTCTGTGGAAGAAGAAGTCTGGCTCCCATCGGAGTTTTCAACTTCCATGCTGCCATCTGGAATGACATAAAGAAATCCATTGTTTCTTCACAGAGATATCTCTTTGAGATTACACAGCAAACCTCTACCTTCATAATTTGCATTTAGCATATGGGTACGCATAAAAAAAGTGTGTAAAACATTATGCAGCTCTTTGTCAATTTGCATTCAAATCAATTATCACTCAAAGATGTTTTATTAAAACAGCTGTGTGAATATGAAAAGTGACAAGGTTCAGATCCACCAGTGATAAAACAACCCGAGGGTCGACTGCTGTATTTGGGTGCCCGCTCAGTTGGAGGCCCTAATCCTGCAGTCTTCCCCAACCCTATCCCTTAAGTAAGCATGTGAATAAGAGAATATGTGTGCCAAACCTGAGTGACTGATGACTTTAACTGATCAAAACAATGCAATGTATCCTCCAGGTATTTCTTTCTCCAAGCAGAAGCTACACTTCTACTTCTCACACTCGTTTATAAGAACAGCTTGACAGAGCCTAATGGATATTACACACACCAAAAGATGTCAAAGTACATTCAAACATTGTGTTACTTGTTTACCTTCATCCCCCCTGTTGGCATTACGTAGCCTTTCCTGCTGGTAGTCATGGAAACGCTGAATAACCTGCTGATACCGCCTCCTGTTGGCATATTGCTGAAGTCTGTTTGGATGTGGACCATTTGTTTCACTGCAGAACAAGTTTCAACATTAATAGTTCATACTGTTTCTTGAAATCATTTTCTAAAATATAATAAAACTGTCTTAAACCAAAAATCAAATAGTTTCCAATTATAAATCTAGAAACATGTCATTCAGCAATCAAACAAAGATACACTATCAGGATATGAGAGTGAGTGAGTGAGTATGGTTTTACGCCGTTTTTAGCTATATTCCAGCAATGTCATGGCGGGGGACACCAGAAATGGGCTTCACACATTGTACCCATGTGGGGAATCAAACCCGGGCGAACGCTTAACCACTAGGCTACCCCACCGCCCCTATCAGGATATGATGATGCTATTCCATCTGTGGCACATGCAGTCATGGAGATCCCTCATTACGTCTAAAAGCAACGATTGTCTTTGGGCTATGTTCAACTATGGGAGTTACAATAGGTCTTCAGCAACCCATGCTTACCATAAAAGGTGACTATGCTTGTCGTAAGAGGCTACTAATGGGATCGGGTGGTCAGGCTCGCTGACTTGGTTGATGCATGTTATCGTATCCCAATTGTGTGGATCAATGCTCATGACATCGATCACTGGATTGTCTGGTCCAGACTTGATTATTTACAGACCACCGTCATATAGCTGGAACACTGCTGAGTGCGGCATTAAACAACAAACAAACAAGCAAACAAACAATCATCTTAGCCCCAAGATCGCTTTATGGAACGAGACCCTGAACCCCATGTTTGTCCAAAGACTAAATGGGTACTGGGTGCTTACAAGGTGTGATACGGTGATTGTTTATTGGTCGATACCTATTTGCAGGCTGACATGAGATAGCTGTAACATGGCTGACCGCAGCATACAAGAGTTACCCCTCCCTACAGTCTTACTTGATGTGCAGGACATTGGCTGGCTCCTCTCGGTGCACGGTGGTGTTGTTTGCAATGCCTGTATACAGGTAGTGTCCAAGGGGATCAAACCGAAGCCATCTGCAAATACAAGTAGTCAATAAGCTTAGGCAAGGATCATGGTGTATATTAAGTTAAAAACATGAAACGAAGTATTGCAATGTGTGAACTGATATTTCTAACTGTCTACCATATTTCATCATAAGCACCTTGCTCCAATATGAAAACAAAGGCTAAAGCTTCCTTTACTACAATGCACAGCTTTCCTGATGGTCTGCAGCCTTAGTTATTTTCATATATTGAAGTATTCAGAAGCCTACAAGAGAGTGGGTAGGTTCAAGCTTGGGCCTCTTATGCACACTGAGGTGCATTTAGCACCTGTTCTTGTTTTCTAACTTTTCCACTGATTCACAGTAATACATCAGATTTAGATTTCAATGGACAATGTACAGCATTCAACAAAACCAATGTCAGCAAGATTGCTATATCTAAGCAAATGGTGACTAGACCTGTTGATTTAAAGAGCTGGTTTGGGCCATTTACTGTTTAGGCATCTTGTGTGCAACTGAAAATTTGATTTAAAAGTAACATTCTTTATCCATCAACTTTCTCTTCAAGTACATGTCATTATCCTTTAGTTAACTAAAAGGCAGATTCAACTAACCGACTACCATACTAATGTGACCTACATTACACCCACCTTATTCTTTCAAATTCATAGTTTGTCCTGGAGAATGCGAACGGCTCCGGTTGGCTCCAGTCCCAGAAGTACACAGTGTTGCCAGTAGCAAACACCAGCACATGGTCCATGGGGTGGAATGCTAGAGAGGCTATCACCCCATTGGTTGGAGAATGCCAGACCTCACTGCCCCCTCCCTGAAACACAACACACACTGGTCAGCAGTGACATTTGGTGAATTCAAATTAAACTACTCAAAAGAAGTTGAGAACACCCAATTCTTTCATATTATGAGGCTATAGAGAATCGGTCATAGATATCTCATTATATTTTCTGATGGTTGAAAGAGGTTTGTTTCACAGTATAAAACACCACACAAAGGCCTTTGCTACAATACAATCATAACTCCCAACTCCCATAACTCCTTTATGTAACCTAAATGGTATAACCTGTGCTGAACCACTGCTTTGCTGAAAAGATATTTCAAGATCAAAATGATTTTGTTTCTTTCCAAGGGTGAATAACATCAAACTCATGGTACATGTAAACAGTTTTTCAAATCATCTGCCTTGGTTTGTTTTCTATACTTACATGCAGGTCCCAGATTCGGACCTCTCCCCCCAGACAGCCTGACGCCAGAATCTCATTGGAAGAGGGGTGGAAGGCTACACACCAGGGTGTCCTGGGATGGCCGGTGAGCACATGGGTACACTTCCCAGATGTGATGTCTGTCACACGCACAGTGTGGTCACCGTGAGTAGATGCCACTTTGGTGCTGAAGCAAAACAGAATCTTTATCACACACCTGATTATACTCTGCTGAACCTGACCTTGTTCCTTGAGGTTTTCTGCTTTGTGTTTCAATCTAGTGTCTCCCTGAATTATAAATTTGTATCATATGTCTTACAGACAGCTTGACTTTCATCCTGAATTTTAAACAATGTACATATTAACACAGAAATATTAAATAAACTGTGTTTAACATGATGCACTATGAGCTAAAGTTATGTCTGCTTAGTGTGACAGAAATGCCCAAGTCATTTGTGTGTACCACTTTGGTGAAACCCATGAGCGGACACACCAAGAATAATAGATAGGTGAATCAGGGATTGGAACCCACATCTGGAAATCAGCATCATATCATAATTATGATAATATAGGTAATCTGTAGTCACCTGTTCATGATAAGATATCAAGACTAGCATTTCCACCTGATCCAGGTGAGTCTGACCACCTGAACCAATTGAATTGTCTAATTCGCCCAGCAACGGACTTATTAAAGCTATTGATTGACAGGTTCAACAAGCTTTAAACTCTAATAGTAATTCTCTTTTAGTTTTCCTAACTGAAACATGTTTTTGTATTACACATTTGCACAAGAGATCCAGTGTGAGTATTGTGCCTTTACATTATGCCGCTGACCACAGATGTATATCACATAGACACCGGTATATGCTCAACATCACAACCAACATATTTCCAGTTCATGCTCTACACAGGATGAATCACAAGCATCTTAACTTTTCCTGCATTGAATTTCAGATTTAGTCTTAATCCTGCACACAGGATGCACCATTCTTCCATCAACAAAACCTTGCAAAATACACACCAATCAGGACCAGAGTTAGAAACTATTAGGAAACTTGAGGTGTCATCAAGTGTTATTTGTATCTACAGGTCATCTAAATTACTTACTGTTTAACATTAAAGTTATGACAAGGACCCATTGACATGCATGCTTAATTTCTTATGCTGTATGACCCTTCAGTTCCTTATATCCGTCAGTTCCTTATAAGTGTGTTTGTTATAACCGTAGTTTACTGTATAATACTTCCTCTTGACAAGATTGTGTGCAGAAATATTTTTATACAGTTATCAGGGATATACTCCATTAAAACTCTGCACTTAATTACCATCAGATAACATTGATAATTGATCCTGAAAACTGCTTACGGGGTATGTACAAATACATGAAAAATGTCAAAAACCCAATAGCATAACCTGATAACACTGTGTTATTATCCAATGTATCCTTTTCAACTTGCGTACCTATATTTCATTAGATATTTATTTACTGAAGGAATGCAGGCATCACACATACATGAACTATAGTCTACTGCTGTGAATAATGGAAAAACAAGGCATTATATTCTGTTATATATATATATTACTCATAAGTCATTAAGGGTTGAATAATTTCACATATTCATTTTAACATCTCGAGCATCCTCATCCTCAATTGGGTCAACTGAAGCCATATGATGTCACACTCACTGTGTTTCATTGTTGTAAAAAATATGATATGATAACATCAATTGTCCATGACGTCAGTTTGTTTACGTTTCGTCATCTGAACAATTGGCTGCTTTCAGTAATGTTTGTCTGTTGGGTTTACATTTCATAATTTTTTACTTCATTTTGTCTCCTAAAATGTCATTGAGTAATACATAGAACAACCAACGCTTGAATGGTTGCTGTAACTGTAAGTCCCTCACCAAAGGCTCAGGATTATCACCATTCATTCACTTGGAACAGATAATCAGTAATTCCTCGTAGCTCGTTGGTTATTCTGAGTATATCGCAGTTGTAAGTTTATATGACATGTAACACTGCATGGGGCAGCACATGAACAGATACAAACAAGAAGTCGCCTGAAACAGCATATAAGCAGAATTATTAAACAAAGGTCTCCGGATGGGTGTAAAAATTCCCAATAAACTGGACCCCAGGGCCCAGTGCTTAAACATAGTTAAAACACAATGTTAAAAGTTTAAGGGTTCACCTCATTAGATTTACTTATACCGGCAGGAAAGATCAAGCCCCCCCTCCCCCCTCCAATTTCAAACACTGCTTACGCCATTTCTCCCATCTTTTACTGCATGACACCATTAACTTTATTAACATCATCACTGTTATTGGTTGTTGGGCAGGCTTGTCTTACTTTTCACACGGTCATGACAAATCAAAAGCAGATAATATATCTCTCTCCAATTCCTCCTGGCTTAATCAGTGTTAATGACACAGACAGACAAATTATCCCAATCTCGTCTTAATGTCTCCCGATTTCACCCAGAAGGATCAACAGGTCCTTGCCCCCAACTATCACAATGCTACAGTGAATAGGAATAGAGGTCATACCAGATGTCAGCCTCTCAATACGACACCTCAAAGCTGTCACTGTATCATCTGAAACTTTAAATTAAATCTTGTCACCCAAATATTTCATTTCAGTAGGATAGGATCAGTTTCACACAATTCTACAGATAATGCTCAGTTGGATAGAAGTTCTTTTGATAATATGTTCACATTTCTTATGAACCATGTATAACGTTACTATGGTTACACAACTACTGATATGCTGAGTTTCTCGAGCATACAGCAATAGTGAAGGAGGAAGCTTAACGCCACTTATAACAGTAGTCCAGTTATATCCCAGCGTATCAGCATGATGTGGGAGGAAAGCAGGATGCAGGTCTGAGACATTTACAACTTTGGTGAAACCCACAAGCAAGAGTATGGTACTGACAAACCATGACCCATTATCAGGAAGAACCCAGATTCGAAACTCACAGTGATAGGTTTCTGGCATACCGAAGACATCAATAGTGTCAACAGTGAAAATAAAGACAATACCAGTCAATGTAAGCCATAACTGTTCTCAAGGCATCATTTTCAGAAGAGTTTAGGGTTGATGTATGGACTTATATCAGCTATGCTTACAAGAATAAAAGAATTTGTCTTAGACCCTGGCATTTTTCTTGTGGCAAATATGTGTACTGCAAAAGTTACTTCAATGTAATGACAGGAAAAACTTTCCTGACATTTAAGCAATATTTTGGGGCACAAACTGGTATGATAAACAAGTCAACATGATACAATTTTTCTTCTTATATGTGTCAACCCTGACTGTGCAATACTCAGCTGAAGAGGTTACAAAGGAGAACCAAGCCTGTATTCATACAGGTGTGTGACCAGTTACCGCTGAGTACACACAACAATGCCTGGACAGTCTCTCACACCCTGGACATGTCCCCCATCAAAAGCTTGACCTGACCTCTGACCCACTGCTTGGACAGGGAAGGCCATCTGTTGCTAAGCCCCCCTCAACATCCTGTTATAATGATGCTTACAGTAATCAGTATGGTTGTACACAGCTTGAAGCAACATTCCAGTCACATCGAGACAAGGGACACCAAGAATGGGTCTCACACATTGTTTTGTTGTTTGTTTGTTGTTTAAAGCCACACTCTGCAATATTTCTGCTCTATGACGGCGATCTGTAAATAATTGACTCTGGACCAAACAATCCAGTGATGGACATCAAGAGCATTGATCTACACAAATGGGATACGATGACATGCATCAACCAACTTAGTTAGTCGCCCCTTATGACGAGCATAGCTGCCTCTTACATAAAGTCAAGTATGGGTTGCCGAAGACCAATTCTAACACAGATCTTCACAGGTCACTTGTACATGTACCGTAATAGTATGTGGCACCTTTAATTATGCATTACAATTTACACATACTGTGTACCCGTATATTTAAACATGCTAAATAGCAGAGAACTGAGTTTGCATAATTTCATGAATGAACTATTGCTGGGATGCTACCCTAAATATGCTCAAACAAGTTTCTCAATGGACTTAAGCTACAAAACTGACTGACGAAACCGAGTGTTAACTATGCCAAACATTCCTACATGTAGTGGAGTGTATCATGATATAGAGTAGCACTGGGACATGGTAGGTGTAAGGATTGCTACAGTGACTGTACAGGGATTAATCCAGTCCACACAGCAATGTGGTGGTAGTTAACCATGATACCACATATAGGTATGTTTGTACTTAACAATGAGCCAAGTGCCCCCCATCCCTGCTGCCATCAATTAATCAATATGACTACTACACTGTAAGTATAGGCCTGAGGCTACTTCTCGGACAGATACAACTGACAAGTTCACTGTGACATAGGTCAATGACCTAGGATACTTCAACATAGGACACTCACCTATAGTTATTTTCAGATAAGTATTATCATGTTAATCTCCAATGTTTCTTTCAAATCTATATTGGTGTTGTTATCTACATGTCCTATGAGTCAAATGTTTTCCATTTGGAAATTTCTAAGATAACATAATTTACCCTTAATATTGAATGGTCAATTGTCTGAACTGAAACTGCAATACTCAGCCTACCTTTATCATTTTTATAATAATTTACAAAATTAAAAAGCAACACTTACAGTGAAATATTTTCAGATTTGTTTTCAATGACCCCAGTAATGTTTGTCTTAAATTGCTGTTTAAATGTCAAATAATGCCTTTATAAGGTATAAGGGAGAAGTAAACTGGGTTTGGGCTTAATCAGTTATATTATTGTTTAACTCAAGAATACATAAATACAGAAACAAAATAAACAAAAACTGAAATTGCTAGTTTCATCATCAATACTGAAATCATGACAAAACATGATCCTACACAATGTGTATTAATCCCCATTATCAGAATCCCGGCCATATCATGCCATGTAACTCCCAGCTGTCCATAATACCCTGTATCTTGTGTAATAGACAGAAGCAACATGGCTTGTGTTGTTGACCCTGTCACACATGCTGCCACAGAGATGATGAAACCACTACTAAGTGGACAATTAATTGTTTTTTCTTAAAATGCTGCTATAGGTGACTTTTTTGTCTCCATCCAAGTGCTTGACACAAAGTACAAACACAATACCTGCAACTGCTTGATTAGCCAATTATGGAAATGCTTGTATTGTTTTCATTGGTCAATCACTCAACAAAAAAACAATATTGTGTGTTGGCACCATTTAAGGTTTAGTTGCCCCTTCGCATGTTCTTCAGTGAGCAGGAAGTGTTGTGATCCTCCATTCAATCTGACAACACTGATACATTTCCAAGCTCCTCTTTTGTGCATTATTCACTGCGGTACTGAGTTCATGTAAAAGGTGCCTGTATTCGATCAGTAAAGAAATACCACACATAAGCTGAAATGGCCACATGTAATGGGTAATTACATTAGGTTATGATGCTGTTAATGTTATACGATTGGTTTTCTTCCCTTTTTTCATATTTGTATCCAAGCAACTCAAAATTAAGTGGGTTTTCGTGACTAATTTTGGAATCTTACGAAGTCACGCAGCTGATAATGATTGTAACAGTTGCACAGGGGAGGGGTTTGCATTGATTACAACAGACCATAAAACCTATACTAATCTAAATGAGTCGTGCAATGGAATATTCCTTCACGTCTCCATGAAAAGATTTGTACACCGTGATCATGAAGATTTCTTGCAATACTGCAGAACACAAAAGTCAACATGCGAATGATGGTATCTAGTAATGGCTGAAATACTTCATCATCCCTCTCTTCATCTTGATGATATGCTGGACAAGTGCACTGATCCACCTCAATCTGAAGGTGGGAGGTTTGCTTTCAATATCCCTTGGACTCCGTTTCCCCGTTCAAAGATAAATTGGACAAAATAAATGGTTCTAATTTAATGCTTACAGAAATCCCACAAAAAATGTACTTCAACTACATAAGTCAAACACTGAATTAAAAATCAATATGGCAAATTGTCAGTCATATGAACACTAAATCATTTTCAAAAAAAAGAAAAACTATTTCAAACATGATAAAGGTCATCATCATATTTAGTTTCATCTTATTTTTCCTAAACCAGAACGATCACTTTATACATCATATTAACTCCTTCGTCTCGCCAGGACATACTGAACAATCCCAATGCTTCACCATTAGTATGATTACACGCCAACCAGAATTCTTTCCCAGTGAAGAAAACTCCTATCTTGCTTCAATGCTTGCTAGGTTATTAAGAGGCATTAACCCACAGGCTCCTAATCAACCCAAACAACTCTTAATTTGTGCAAAGGCTAGACATGGAACAGCGTGTGTTAGACAGAGAGTTGTGCATAGCCTCAGGCTGATGACAGCTAACCGTCAGAGGAGGCTGACCGCTGACCACCACCGAGAGGACTGGCCTTGATCGTGTTAAAGTGACCGAGCCACAATAGAATTTCTATGAAAGCAGAAAAGGCAGAAGTTCACAGAACCACAATACCTGAATGCATGAACTTTTCAAATCCTGTGGGAAAATGTCATTATTTTTCGTGGAAAATTTAGTGATCAGATTCATTCTTTATATAAAAAGACAAAACTCCCACTTCTAGGTAAAAAACAGATGGTAAAAACATGACCCCAAAAAATGATAGAACTTCATTTTGATATATCAGCACACGTATATAGCATCACACTACTTGTTCATCATATGATAAATATTCCACAGACTGGATAGAATATAATCACTGATAATGATATTCTGACAAGAATATGTGATACACAAAGATTCAAACATCATCATTAGCATATCCATATCTGGTTCAGAAGCTGATAACAGTGAACAGTAACACATCGAAAGTTTGCGTCGTGCTTATCAAAATCCTTACATCACATCACTACTGTTTGATATATGAAAAAATTAACATCATGATCTCATGCCAATACCATGTATATGACAACACATAGTCTGCCTTCAGCAACACTAAACCAGGCAATAGTCATGATGATAATGTCAAGGCATTGACTTGATCATGTTTATCAATCAGTGGACTTTGCAACACAGTGTCATGCTTGGTATACTGAGCGCAGTTTTTCAACTTCAAACATGATCAAAAAAGGGCTTCGCACAACGTACCAAAGTTAGGACTCAAAATTGGATCTTTCAGGTATAGCACACAAACTATTGCTACAACCACTGCGGCAGATTTGACAAACAATAAATATCTAAAATAACTCCCATTTGGCTAGGTATGAACAATGTCAAACTTAAACTATGGTAAGTCTATGGTAAGTCTATGTTAAGTATAAGAGTTATGATCATCATAATGCTACAATCGCTAAGTGGAACAGGCCCTGGGTTTGATTTGGTCTTCCAACATCCATCACTGTCTGTAAGAGATGAGTAAGTTGGACTGATTACATGTCACTATGCCCTGGGCCCCGTTCCACAAAGTGATCTTAGCGCTAAGACGATCGTAACTCCCATACTATAACACAGGCTTACCACAATCATAGCACTAAGATCACTTTGTGGAACGGACCCCTGTTGATATAGAATCATTTGTTCATGTTTTCTGACCTTATAGTTTCCATGGGCCAATCTCAATCTCCATCTCCAGGTCACACACTGTAACCATACAATGCTATAATTCTGGATTGACACTAAACTTACAGGTGACAGACCACCAAAATCTCTAGGAAGTATGAAGAGAAACTAGAACTTACCCATCCGGACTGAAGTCCATAAGGAAAGTAGCTCGAGGTAATCCTGAGAGCTCACAAGCCTGGAAACAAAGGGAAATTAACTGATTTTCTTTATGTTCCAAGGTCTATTCTTTCCTTATATTATATCTTAATATGAAGATACTAATTGTATAGGTATGCCTAGGGGTTCCTTGATTCAAATACTGTAGGAGCAAACATCAAGGAGCACAGGACCCCTCTTATTTTCAAACACCGAAATTGGATGTAAAAATATATTCAACCATGAAACTCGTTTTCCTGAGCTTAATGATTATAAATATCTAATTTTAATTATTCAACAAGTGCTACTGGCCATAAAAAATAGTTCACATAACTGTCGAAACAGAAGCTACAAAACTGTCTTTCAAATCGGGAATTCAATACAGGGATAGAAGTTTTGGAATCCCTAATCTATTAATGATAGTAGTTTATCTTAAATTTGAGTAGTTTTCTTTGACCTTTACCCTTACTTTCAAACTGGCACAGAAATCAATCCCTCTAAGACATAAGGTGAGGTGAAATGGGGTTTTATGTTGCGTCCAAGATTATTGCACTTATATAGCGATGTGCATGTACGTGTGTCTCTATGACATAAACAAGAGGCATTTCTAGTCAATATAGACAACACAAACATCACTGCCTAAACAGCGATAAAACACAGGCAACACACTGACAACACACAGGCAACACACAGGCAACACAGACAACACACTGACAACACACAGGCAACACAGACATAACACTGTGTTGGCAACACACAGAAAAAAACACTGATAACAGATAGACAGCAGGCAACACTGACAACACACAGAGAAGACAGACCTCAAACAGGCACCATACCAGCACCATACAGACAACACATTGGCAACGCACAGGCAACACACAACAGACAGGCCATAACACAGGCAACACACAAGATAACACACAGACTATATATACCTGGTTCTTGGTGAGAGTAGATGTCCGGTCTTCCACCAGCGTCCCAAGGTTTTCACCCCCACTGGCTTTAGACTTCCTCTTGGAACATCCATGCTCCCGGCTTTGTAGAAACTGGATGACATTCATGTTTCCTTCACCTGGACCAAAACAGCAGTCCATTTTACAAAGCTCTTCGAAAAACTCCATCAATATTGCAGTGGGACCACGAGGAAAAGACTACACATTATACCATGTGGGGAATAAGCTCCAAGTCTAGGTATGACTGGCGTCTGCCATAAAGTTATTAAGACATGGGAACACGTCACAAGCCATGAACTGATATTTGTCTGTGCGTCATGATTCCCATATGTGACTCCGAGTTTAACAAGTTCAATTTCACATTTTCAATTTGACAGCACAGCAGTCGATGATTTTAGACTCTAGTCTGAAGCCCTGAGTCTACCAGCAGTAGAAAGTAGCATTTTTAGTCCACTAGTCCATATAATGATAACAGATAGAAAACCCTTAAAAAGGGCACATTTCTACTAGTCCTTATGATACCTTAACTATTGGACAATTGGCAAGGACTACAGGACTAGTGCCAATTTCTAATGCTGCCTAGTAATATTCACTCACTCACTCAGGTTTAGCTATATAAGCTTCGGAGCTGCTTATTCTAGAACACATACCAAGAGTAAAATATACTGAAAATAATGCACAAAAAACAAGTTTGGGTGAGTAGGATCAAAAGTATTTGGCACAGACAGGTACAGTCTGCGGGAGTTAATAAGATCAGTCAGGGTTTTACCTTGACTTTCAAAACTTGGACACAGTATACTTTTTTTCTGAGTTCATTCTCTACATTAGCGAGTACTGGAAGCACATTTGTGTGTCGCATAAAACCCCGATCAGTGCCAGAGTGAATGATCATACAATTGGTCAAAAATGCTGCTGCCATTGCCATGACTGTACATATGATCACAGTAAAGTTGGTTCCATCTCTTCACACAAATGTCAACACTGCAATAGTATCTTAAGTATAAATAGACATGACACTTCACTAATATACCAACATTACTTTAGTTGTGTTATGTAACTATTTCTTAATGTGAATGAAACCAATCGCAATATATTTATGATTGATGTGAGAGCTCCAGTTATCACTTGGTCCAGTTCTAATACTACTGAGTGCTTTAGTGGCCCAGTCGCCAAAGGCATTCCAATTTGCTATTCTGAGTTGCACCCCTAAGCCATTACAAAATCCTATGAAACATGATCATGGCTTCAATACCTGATTTCTCCTGATTGTGATTCCTGGGATGTTACCCCATGATAAACATCCAGGACTTGGGGCTTTCTATTTAGCTGACACGCAATGACATAACTGAAGTACTATTTCAGTTACTATTCAGGTAACAAGACTTATAAGTTACAGCCATGTGTACATACCTCACTCCAACTGTGCATATAGTCGTAGGAGGGCAGTTCCCGCTGCACCCGATGGTACATACAGCGACAGACACAGGAGATTCATGGACAGCCTATGTTCTGTCTACCAGTCCCAACATCATGTAGACCAGTATATTCGGAAATCAATCAACAATGGTAAACAGAGTTTTGATTAATTCCTCATGACGGGCCAACAAGTCCATATAATCACATCCTCATTCTGACGACTCATCTCCCCTCTTCTCCCACAGTCTGTGAAAAGATTTAATTTAGGTTTAATACAAGGCACATCAGAGTATCACAGGTAGGTACAGAAGCTCACCTTTATTCAAGGATATATAATTGGAGGGGTGGGGATGTGCAAAACTAGTTATTTCGCATATAATGCTACCACACATTGGGATACAACTTTTTATAGAAGGCAGGTTTGTTAATTTTTGGCTTATAAGTATACTTTGTGCTACCTTCCTTAAATGGCCTATTGTTTTGATTTCAATGTTGACAAAAGCTACTGACTACTGACTTTTGTTCCACAATTTTACTTTTCTGATTTATATCATTTCAGGAAGATTCATGTAAGCAGGCATTGAGAATCATATTAACAGTAACACTAATAACAATCCAAAAGGATAGTGATTCTAGATATTGGTAGTAATTAGACCAACTGGATAGGGAGTTAATGTCCTTTCACAGACAAGTTTTACTCCAAGCATGTTATCTTGTTAATGGTCTGATTTTGGTATAAACATGATATATGGCATAGTATTAAATAGTCAAACAATGAAAACATCAATTCAATGCACTATATTACTTCACCAGAATCAATTAATATCAGATTCATTGCAAACAGTGTAAATGACCATTCTCATAATACAATCATGAAACAAATGAAAAGCAAATTTCAAAATATCTTTATCATTTGGGTATGCTTTGAATATCCAGCATTCATGTGAAAAAAACACTAAGCATGCTAAGTGCCTTGTACTTGTAGCATGAACTGCTGAACATGGTATGGGTCAGCTATGGTTGTTGTTCAAGATGTGACGGCTGTACGTGAATCTGTGACTGATAACTTCTTACAAAACATGAAAATAACTTTTCCTGAAAACTGTCTATAAATTGAGCATATGGTGATGCTGACTGGAATGTTTAATTTCATTTACATGTTCAATTGATAATGTACAAGCTAACATTTTGATACAAGTGCACATGAGAAGGGCTGTTGTTTTTCACTAATATGAGCTGCTGAGACTGCCATCTTATATATTTCAAAATACAAACAGTGAAGAACCATAAATTAAGCTCACATTGATGATGTCAAGTTGAGCATGTTCAGCTTAAAATACATTGGTGTAGAAGTAAAACCAGGAGGTTAAGAGCCAAACTGGATATGTCATAACATCAACATATTCAAAATTCCAATGTCTACTTCAGGTTATAAAGCAATGGTTATGGCCGAAAAACAAAAATAAAAATAATGTGAACTCAAAACTTTAGCGTTGAAACATTTTGATTCACACCACAACGTACAAGTTCAGCATGATAGTCAGTACTTCATAAGAAATGAAAGCTCACTTTACCAGTTTCCACTGAACATGTTGAACAAAACAATACAGTATGCATGGTATGGGCAAGTTCAGGATCATCAGGGCTAGTTAATGTTTCTACTTGCTCCTGTTACCAGCCCATATGGCTGCTGTTGCGTTCATGTTAATTTCTAGCACTGCAGGGTCTTGTAATCACGGTAATGGGGTGAACCTCAGGATGTTTCATTACCACCTTGAGCCTGTACATAAAGTTCTAAGTCCAAAATATCCTTATACTACTCATAGCTTTGTTCAGTGAGCATGCTGAGTGGATGATCACAAGTTATATGTACTATGCACTTGGGAGTGTGCTCAAAAGCCCCACATGCTACATGACAAACAAAGCTATACACACGAAAACATGTAGCCTGAACATGGCTGCATTATATTAGCTACAATTTAGTGTCACTACATGGACAATAAGTAGCTGAGCTTACCATTCTCATTGACCCAAACAGAATTTTACTATACACAGGCTTCAGACTAGTTGCTAAACTTCCAGACTATGTCCTTGGCATTTGAAGGTGCATTTGAAGGTGAATCCTCAGCTTCATTGTTTGCGTTCATGTAATTGTCATATCTTTCAAACATGTCAAAGGTTAGCGACTTCAAAGGTTCCACATCTTGTGACATGGCTCCAAAAGTTAGTATTTAACTGGAAAATCCAATACCAAGGAGCCTTGTCTGTGGCTGCTACTTCAGAAGCTACAGAAACAGGAGTGTGCATCCCAGTTGAAAGCCTATTGTCAGCATATATCAGGTTCTATTGATTATTCCGACAGTGTTACTACTTCTGCTTCTGCAAAAAGTCTATTACTAATGGACTTGTCTCTTTTTATTACTTACTAGTCTCAGTACACAGTCTGAAAGAGTATAACTTGTTGATCATTTTTCTCCTTGCCTAATATTATCTTTTTCTTCAGTAATCATTTGACAGGCAAAGTGAGATATGTACATGTCAATTGAAAATGCAAGTTAGCTTGGGACAAGCTTAAAATCTTACTCCCATAAAATACAATCAGAGACTAAAAAATAAAATAAACAGCTCTCCAAAAGTACTATCCCAAAGTAAAGATCTCTTGTCCAACTAACAATGTACAACAACTACTTTGTAGCCCAACTCTTAGGCAAGACGAATGGATAGGGTTTTTTTCATAAAGGTTAATATAATCTGATTAGAATGATATACAATTCTGTTGACAATGACCATGTTGATATGTCAAGGGAATTCTAAACTGACTAACCACTTAGAGCTGTAGAAGTAGAACACACTAAAACACACAATATCAATACAGCTCATTCTGTAGGTATGACTGATTCTAAACATTGGGTAAAACCGAAAGTGATGTACATCACGATAGCAGTCGGCAACTCTAGTCGTCACTTCACCAAAACCAAAGAGTAAAATCAAATGCATTTTGGTCAACATGGTCCAAACAGCCGTAGCAAATATATGCTTTTGTGTACAGAGAGAACACACCGAGACATTGAGTGAATTTTGTGACACACCACAGTCATCAGTCCACCTGTGGTTGACAGTAATATCAACAAACCTGTGCTTGATAGTATGATAAACAAACATGTGTTTGACATAATGATCAACCAACCTGTGATTGACAGCAAGATCCATAAACCTGTGTTTGACAGCATGATCAACCAACATGAGCTTGACAGAATGATCAACAAACGGGTGAGTGATAGCATGATCAACACACCTGTGATCGACAGCAAGATCAACAAACCTGTGATTGACAGCAAGATCAACCAACCTATCACTGACAGCATAATGAACAAACCTGCATTTGCCTCAAGATATATCCCTGTGTTGTGTCATTCAAACCTAACTCAAAACAAAGCTTTGTATAGTGGCAAATTCGGCTCAGAATCCAGGGTATTTATGACAACTGAATGAATAATCAATAATCTGATAATGCACACTATTTTTGATAATTTATGATGTAGATGTCATTACTGCTATCAGAATAGCAAAACTTGGTTACCATGGTTACTGTCCAACATGTCCAATGGAAGATGGCAAATTCATAAAGACACTTAAAATAATATTCATCCTACTCCATGAAGAATAAATGTAAATTGTAATACCAGAGTTCATAAAATGCCTTTTACATAAGAAAAGAAATGTGCATGAATACATGACATTAACTGATAATAAGAACTGGCTGTGACATTTCTTTTTGCCTATTTTGTAACTAAATGTCAAAAATCACACTGAACATTTAGTTAACAAAGGAATGAAATGTCAATGACTGGACACATGCCTGTACAGAATTCTTAGTCATACCTGCTACCAATTGAACTGTAACAAGACAACTGACTAGTATCATGCATTTTATTCATCACATATCATAATCATGGTCATATGATGTGACATGTTTTGATGTTGTTGAATGCACTCAGCATTGCAATATTTCATTTCCAGCTATATGATGGGGGTTTGTAAATATTCGCCTATGGACCAAACAGCCCAGTGACTGATATCGTGGTTGATCCACACCATCCAGGTACATTGACACACTTTCAACTAAGTCACGGAGACTGACCATCCGATCTATTTGGTCACCTCTTACAACCACGTAGGTTGCTGGAGACCTATGCTAACCAGGAATCTCAATGGGTGCTACATTATTTTGATCGGGTGGGGTCTGTGACATGGCTGAGCGGATGTATCATGGTCAATGCTGACTGTGACATTCAACAACATTTATTCACTGACATGCCTCTCAACAAGATGTGATCAAAGATGATGAATTACTTGAGTCATGTAATTAACAGATGCTTAACAACAACAATAATCAGCAGACAAATATGTCCAGCATTATTTCATTTTCTCCAGACATCTGAAAACGAAAAGTAGATATGAATTTCCTGACGTATCCAGGAAACATGGAACTTAACGCAGACATCAGTTGATTCACTTCGGTTGAAGGGTTAACGCTAACAAATAGTTTAGTTATCAAATGGCATTGTTCAGGTACCAACAAAAAAAAAGATGCATATTGACGTTGATAACTCACCTGAGTTTGGCGCATGATTTTCTAACGGTGTACTTCCTGCATCTGTTGTCGTTCTATGATTAACCAGACAAGATCAACACTAGGCCTCGTCACACGGAGATGAAGCAGAGGTCTGCAGGTTCGAGACAGAATATTGCACACTAAATATCTCATTAAGTGCACACACAAAAGTTTAATTTTTGCGCTTATGGCAATGTACGAGTTGTGCAAATTCGATTCCCGTCAAATATCCCGTAGATTAGTCAACATAACTTGAATCATTTGAGAATATATTTCAACGCGATGCAAGGTTTGCACTTTTGACCCCGTACTCCGCCATTGTGAAAGAACCCGTATGAAATATTTTCATTACGACTACTTTACACTTCAATCAAAGACACTGTTCTGATGTGATCTCGAGCACAATATGAAGCACTGCGAATTGAGTCTATCAACTGCTGATGTATCCCCCGATGGCCGTCAACAGAAACTCTATAAGGACGCACAATATTAATGTTTCTTATGACTTAATATTTTAACCGTAAAATGGCTGTCCTGTTTATTCAACAGTTTTGATATGTTTTACAATAGTAAGGACAGATTGTGAATACAACATAATTACCAAGGAAATCCGCGTTCAGGCTTACCCAACCAATACTGAAAACATTGCCTTCAATATTCCAAGAACAAAACACTATAGTCCGTTTGTCTGTCTCCTGGATCCTAGAGAATATATATTTTAAAATATAATCCCTCTCAAGTCTAGAATGAATTGGCAAGTCTAGATTGCCTCAGCTCAGAAATTAGCATTGCTCTGGGCTCCATTTGATTTTACTTTTTCTTCTTCTTTTTTTCAAAATGTATTTTGTAGATATATCTTTAAACAAGAGATTTCTTGGATTCAATGTTAGCCTTATGGTCCGTGCTCAAGTGCCCATTTCCAGTTTAGGCCAAGACGGTGTAGTTTGTAGATCGTGGGAAAGTGAGGCATTTTCTCGGTGTATGGGGTAAAGTTTTGCTGTTATATTGAGCTTTCCGATTTAAGATAGCAGAAAAATAGTAGGGTTTGAAGACTTCAATCCAACTTGCTGTGACTGCCACTGATGCTATAGCTTCCCATTGAGTATGGATATGTATAATGATAAATTTAAAAATACTGATTATAGATAAGTCATCGTACACCTATAATATGTATCAGTCCCCGAAACACATTATTTTCCCACCCATCCAGCCCTTTCTGTAATGCTTCTGCTCTAATTGAAGCAAGTCTAGATTTTCCACAAGATTCAGTTTCTCCCATTTCACTTGGGCTCCGTTTCAATTTAAATGGAGTTGTTTGTTTCTATCAAAATACATATTTTCAGAGACTAAGCGTTGGTCCAACGGCCTTGGACGTTGTTCATAATGCCACCCACTGGTCGATGTTTTACAGGCCCCTGTGATATAGTTGGGAGTATTGCTGAGTGCGGCGAATCCAGATTTGCAACGGGGGCTGCGTTGATTTCGTATCTAAGAAATAATACTTACCCTTAGTCTGTCTTACAGACCCTGATACATTTATATCAACTACAGCCCATGCAAGTCTATAATGTTTGGCAAGTCTAGATTACTGCAGTATCTGAAAATGAAGAGAATCACTGGGCTCCCTTTTTATTAGATTTTTATTAAGATAACTGAACAACTGTTTTTTTCTGTATGATATGTTCATTTCAGAGACTATATGTTAGTCTATACTTACCCTATTTCTTTTGATTTCACATAGTAACAGAAAAATGCACATACAGGTGAAGGCCGCATATGTGAAAATAAATAAATATATTGTTTATTGACATTGTAAATCAAACAAAATAGTACAATGCACTGTAGACTAACATTTAGTCTCTGAAATCTTATATTACACAATATCCTTCTTGATTCTAAAAATAAAAAAACAACACCCTATGCTGATTTCTATGTGGAATAGAGCTATCTTGAGCTGGCTATACTTGCTTTTGTATGAATTTCTAGATTATTATTTTTTCATAAAATAGATATATTCCACGGTCATGGTGCAGGACTAAATGCACTGTTGCTCTCCTGGTATTTATAGTGAGCTCAAATTACCTCAAAGTCAAGCTGAAACTGTATTTAAGACAATATTCAAGTGTGAACAACTGTGGAAGACAAGACAATGACGATGTAAATAAATCATCTATTCTACAACATAACATAATAAAGCATGTAAATAAAGCATATATATCACTACATAAATCGCTCTTATCGTTATTGAAAATAAAGGTGCCGTTATCGCCCGCCAATAGCAACCGTCTTCGCCAAATGATGTGCCGTTTTTGCCTAAGACATCGGTGCCGTTTTGCTGAAATGCCGTTTTAGCCTGCACCCACTTAGGGAAAATGTTGCGGTTAATTGGACCGAATGGTTGATTGTTGTGAATATCTATTGAGAAATGTACCCCAAAACCGTTCTGTATGGTCGAAATCAGCATACAGAAATGAACGCCAACTGACCAATGTACGGCGCCATACAGCAGGTTAAAGAAGCCATAAAAACGGTGTTCGATTATCTAAAGGTGGGAGGCGTTGTTCTTGTGATACTCGTAATTGTCCTGAGTGACATTAATCGCGTTAAGGACGTTATTAGGATGTCCATGTTTCTCCATATTTGTCGTTTTTGTGTGTGTTGTATCGGGAGAGAGATCACAATATGCATGTGGTATGTTTGCAAATCCTGTTCGAAAAGGTTTCGAAGTAGACGTGTTAAAACATGAAACGGTGCGCTGCAGAGGAAGGCTTGGGTTGATGATAGGTAGCAGCTTTTACTTCTAGAATCATAAGATCCATTTTTTTGGCACCACAGTTGCCATTTTCTTGCAACGTCATAGTCCCGAAGTAGATTTAATACACTTGTTACACGATAGATAACAAACGCATGCTCATTTGCTGTATAAATTAAAGAGCCTCAAGAAGACTGCTTCGGGCGATTGGAAGAACGAGTAATAGCTTCCCTGTTTTACGGATTCTTCGGGTAGGCTGTAAACGACAAAATCTAAAAAGACTTTGTCATGCTTTAGGTTGAGGTAGGTGCGTGCTATCGACAGACGGTTTCACAAGTGTATATGGAAGTAAATATGTTGTATGGAAAGTCGTATGTTTACCAATATGGCGTTAACGTGAACACGTGCGTTTGTTTTGGAACAGTTCATGGGGTGTAAACTACTTATGGTAACGTGTTATTCATTCATCAATAATGATAAGCCTCAGCATAATACACACTTCAAACGATAAACTGTCGAGAGTCAGACCGGCAATGTTAGAAAAGACATTTTGACAGGGACAGATTTACTCCGCAGATATCAATATCAATATCCGCAGAAACAATCGCACGAACTAGTCACAAAACAGTCCTCCAATATGGATGCATGTGTTGTTTCGCGATATGTGGTAATATCAATTCATGAGATCCTCGTTTTTGTTCCAAACAGCTAAATCCAAAACACCTGCCGGGAGTGGGATGTGTACGATAATATTTCTATTTGCTTGCCATTGCATATCTCGTGATATCTCTGTGAATATTCTAATATGCTAAACATTTTCTCGTTTCTCGTGAGATAGGTATATGCCTCTGAGATAGAATATTGTCAAAACCGTCGTTTATTGCCAAATGTCACCAACTGTCAGTTATATATAATGTTTTTTTGTAGTATACATGCAGCTTATATAATGTATACTATAGTTTTGACAGCCGATAAAGATTCATAAGCTGATATTCCTAAACAATTGCTCTGCATGTATTTGTGAATGTCATGTTGATATTTTTCGCTGAAGGGGACGTTTTCAGCATGAGTTCTACAGATATGTACCCCAGGTACATATACATATCTGTATACAGAAATGTACTCTCGCCAAAATCGGAATACCGAAAGATACGCGGCACCCAAACAAGGGACGAGTCCATATTCCTCAACCTGAAACCGGTTCGTGTTGTAGTTCTGGTTCGCCTGGATGACCCTGTGTTTAGTGGAATGTTAGAGTAAAGTACATGTATACGTCACTGTGTATGCTCAATTTTTATATGGCACGCTGGAATACATCTCATAAAACAGTATGACAGTCCTGACCCATTTATGGAAAGGAAATACCAAGAGAAAATATACATGTTCCGCCAACTTGAATTTTACCAGGGTACATATCTGTAGTATACTACCCATGCCAACAACGACCTCTTCAGCACGGAGTCTGTATACTGTGTCTGAGTGGGGTGTTCATGTTAAACTGTATCTCAGTGGGCTAGCACTACAAAATCATCATTAGTCCGGACTAGGACAAACGGACACACACACATGCATACATGTCACTATATAAGTGCACTAATCTTGGATGCGATTTTAAACCCTCGCCACCAATAGCTATTATATGACAATAAGTTATGCTGAGATCGTGCAGAACTGAATATCTTTATATATTATGAGATTGCAGCCTGCGACTTCAGCCACTTGTCCAAAGTCTATTAAAATTCTGTTCAATCTTGTAAACTCAGCAATATCAGTCAATATAATAACAATGACTTCTTCTGAAAATGATGCTAAGAACCATGTTCAGGCTTGTAGTCTAGGAGTCTAGGATTGTATTATTACTAATATGCTATATGCCATATCAAATATTGTTTCAATTTCATTTATATGCCATATCAAATATTGTTTCAATTTCTTTTACTTCTGGTGGTCAGGGATCGGGTGGTCAGGCTTGCTGACTTGGTTGATGCATGTCATCGTATCCCAATTGTGTTGATCGATGCTCATGATGTCAATCACTGGATTGTCTGGTCCAGACTCGATTATTTACAGACAGCCGTCATAAAGCTGGAATATTGCTGAGTGTGGCATGAAACAACAAACAAACAAACAAAACACTTCTTCAAGTAGGTGTGTGAAAAAGAACTGGAATACCAGTATATTACAATATGGCTGTCAGCAATACACATATCGCAATACAAACTTTGTGTATTGATATTTTCCAATACATTTTCCAAAGAATTGATATATAATTATGTAAATTATTTCTACTATCTTGAGACATTTGAATGGACTGGGTTCCTATCTAACACAGCACACTTCATGCTGTTAAATAAAGTTCCATATTGATGATGTACTAAGCTAAGTAGTTATCCATTCTGTCAAGACCTACCTCGAAATCTGTAGCCTGGATTATTGAGTAAAGCATTACCATTTGAATAGTACAAATATATATAATTTGGGCCCGAATATGTATTGCAATATGTATCGCAATACAGCTCTCCGTATTGTTACATATTGCAATATGATTTATGTGCCAATACGCTAACCCTATCTTCAAGTTTATATATCAGAAGCAATAATACAACTTGATACCTCTGTTGGATAGAGAGGATGATGGTTCATGCTTGTATTTTCATCAGATGACTTGGGTAACGTTACATTGGGATTTCTAAACGGTTGCTAGGTTATACTTATACTGGAGATAGCCCAGTCGTGTGAGGTTCCACAATTTGCTTCACACAGTTGAGACTTATAGGTGTTCGAGAATCTTATTATCTTGATTAGATTTACTACATGTTTTGATATTTATTACATAAGAAGGCTATGAATTACAATATATTATAAGGATGTCTGGCTGATGTTAGATGTGGAGCCACTGGTCATCATGGCCAGTAAGATAATACCGTATTCAACGTAATAAGCGCCCACAGCGATATTTGCTAATATAATGGCGAGTGAACAATCCCAATCAGCACCCCTTCCGATTGATCAATGTACACAAGACTTATTTATTCGTGAATAATACGCACTCTTGTGTTATATCACCCTTAATTATGGGCAATTAAATTCTTGAAAAATATATCTGTCGTATGTAAACATTTCAGGCGAAATTTACGATCTTTTGATTTTACGAGATTTTGAGAGCGCCCTGGGCGCTTATTACGTCGAATACGGTATGTATTTTTAAAATTCTGATTGTCTGCCCAGCACTAGCTGATATTTACTTTTATTTTCAGTTAAGATCTTCACAGAAGCATGAGGATGATGGATGAACAGCCGCCAAGCAAAAGGCGAAAGTTTAACTGTAAATATATATTTGTTCAAATGACTAAAATAATCATTACTTTCTGACCCCAGGTTCTGACCTGGGTTATATTATAATTGACCTTCTGTAATCCATGCTTGTCATAAGAGTCGATTAACAGGATCACATAGTCAGTCCTTGGTTGACGCATGTCTCAGCGTCCAATTATGTCAATCAATGCTCACGATGTCAACCACTGGATTGTCTGGCCCAGACATTACGGTCTAAGCAGTCTTCACCATGTGCTGTGCACTGTTGTGTGTTGCATGGATCAGCTAGTTGTAGGCTTGTAGCCAGGATTCATCCCATGAACATGCAGTAGTCAACCTGAAGCATGTAAGTCAAGGAGTCCTAGTCATCATCCTAATGTTAGAAGATAAAGAATTAAGGGGTCCCAGAGCTCCAGATAAGTTTTTGGTGTTGTGGGTATTTTACCCATGCATTTTAAAATCATTGGGTATCAGTAATTCTATCTGGGTATTTAAATTTCTGTTTCCCACTAGTTTTTACACATGTTGGTATTTAAGTTAAATATTTACAAACACTATTCATCTAGTCCCTGCAAACTGGTGTCGTGTGGTTTCGAGAGCTTTATAGGATTAAAAAATACCACGATACTTCCACAAGAAAGTGTGATGGCAAATGATCATGATGTAACTGTCATCGTGGAGTTTGGCAAGGTTGACGGAATGCCAGTTTATAATTTCAAAATAAGTTGCTGATTTGCTAATCGAATACGCAGGGTTACTTCACAATATTTTGATGATACGCACAAGTTTTATTTTTGTAGCGTATCTGTAATGTTAGTTGCGTATTTGATACACTTGGATTTGATTTTACTGCGTATCTCTGCATTTCTGATGCGTATTGTACGCAGATACGCAGCTTATCTGGAGCTCTGGGTCCTGAGATCAAAAATACTGTAACAGGAAACCTCAAGGACCCAGGACCTTCCTCTTATGTCTCAAACACTGAAGATGGATAAAATATGGTGCCTTGTTTAACAAAGCAATATTTGTGCCAGAATGATCTACGACAATAACACTAAGCTCGGCTCTCGTCATGTGGGCTTTTGTGAAGGTCACACACATTTGATGGTCACTGAGCAGTAAAAGCTTTTGCAATGGCGGAGCATGTGATGTTCATCATTATTCTGCTGTCCTCCTGTCTCTCAGTGAAGGGCTGCTTTTTCCAGACAGTAACTTCTAAAGACAAAATACTTGTACCAATACAGTCATTATACATGTCATTGTCATGTAACAAATGTTATATTTGGGATAACACTTTCTTAGTAAAGTACAGATTCTCGTACTTTTTTTGGGGTTGAGTCCCATCCAGGATTTGAACCCACACTTTCCAGAGTGAGTCACAATGTCAGCGATCTAACCCACTCAGCCACCGAGGCTTCCACAAAAATGGAAATCTAACAACTGGTAGTCTGGATCACGTACTTTGAGTACCCCTCTGACAAGTGTAAATTGGCACGACTCCCATGGCCAAAAGCTATGAATACACAATGCCATTTAGAAAGTGGTCAAATGTAACAAATGTTATATTTGGGATAATACTTTCTTAGTAAAGTACAGTGATATCCCAAATATAACATTTGTTACATTTGACCACTTTCTAATGGCATTGTGTATTCATGTTATGGTCATGTTGAAAACAAATTGTTGAGCTACAGTGTCATCATTTCACATGACCAAAATTAAGACTGGCCACTGTCCATGGCTTTTGTCATTACTTGTTCTTATTGTGCCTGCTAATTTTATTTTTAGCAGATATACTAATGATGACCTACATATTCTTTTACATTGACAGTTACAAATGTCCAGTTTAAAGACAGGGACAAAGACAGAGACAAAGTGAACAAACTGCGAGAAGAGAGAAAGAAGCTCCCCATCTTTCCTGCACGCTCCCGTCTTGTACAGGAAGTGAGGAAACATGACAGTGTCATCGTCATCGGGGAAACTGGAAGTGGAAAAACAACACAAATACCTCAGGTACTAGATGGTTTTCAACTTAACATTTTTAATCTACTAGTCCTTACAATGAAAACATAAGCGAAACCCTTAAAAATGGCAACTTTCCACAAGTAACTTTCTGATGCAATACACAATGCGATACATGATGCGATACATGTCTATATTTATAGTATGGTCATGATGTAATACACGATGCAATACACGATGCAATACACGATGCGATACATATCTATATCTATAGTATGGTCATGATGCAATACACAATACGATACATATCTATATCTAAAGTATGGTCATGATAAACACGATGCGATACATATCTATATCTATAATATGGTCATGATGCGATACACAATGCGATACATGTCTCAATAGTACAGTCATCTAGCGATGCACTGTATAATAATTACCTCAGTACTAAGGTTGTGAAGCGATACACGATATACATATCTCAATAGTAAGATTGCCATGTGATGCAGGATACGTGAACACTTCACGCATGGCATATTTGGAGCTATTGTCCATCTTGGACATGAATGAGAATGAAAAGAAAACCATCCCCAAAATACTTATTTTTAAGTTAAATAATGAAACATTGGCCTGAGAACTCTTGTGCATGCTGGCAATTATGATCAATCTTTATACAATTTTACATATCTCCTAAATATGTACTGGTATTGTGTTTTATCATATAATGGGTGAGTTTCTCAGCAGGATAATGCCAACGGATAAAAACGATATCCGTTGGGGTCATATGCGGATAGAGATGCAAATATCAAAGGTCAAGTAGGGACTAGTTTCACTGTTTATAAACAAACATGGCGTAGCCCTTGTCATTTGGCGATCAAGTCAGAATTAACCATCTAGAATATGGAGAAACTACAGGGATAATTGCTATCATTATGAAAAGAATAGTCTAATATACTGAAAATCAGTGTCTAACTGTGACGTAGCTAAGGCATTTAAGAAGTTTTGGCAACTTTGGAGAAATAATTTGCGAAACAATTTAGCGAGGGCACAAGCCAAGTGGGAGCACTTTACATATCTTGTAGACCTCTGCGTCTTGGAACCTTTTCCACAAATTAAAACAGTTGGATTTGGCCGAAATACGTACGAATTGTTAACTCGTTTTGTTTTGTCGCTCTGTGTACATCTGACTGCACTTCGTAACGTTATGACAGGACAGGCCGGCTGTTAACAATGTCTGACTGTGGCCATGACGTTTCATAGACTAGGGTTAGAGAAGCTTCCCTTTGATAAAGGTCAGTTACTCTATCGGACAGACCGATGAATTGCAGCGAAAGGCAAGTAAAAACAATTTGTGTAGGCAATTGTTATGTATATATGTAGTTACGCCGCTGTATAAGAAACAGGTTTCTGTTGGAACTATAGTCTGGAAGGTAATTTAAGGTACCGACGTTTACAACTTGAAAGGGTGCACAGGAATCACGCACGTTGAGATGTCCAACGCTAACACCGTGCGTGCATGATTCCTGTGCACCCTTTCAAGTTGAGCTGATTGGTTCAACTGTGTCATATGGCCCTGTGACGCAGGGGTAGCATTATGCAGATGGCTGTTACAATGAATGCTCGTTCCACCCGTGACAAACAGTTCTGGTTGTTGATGAAATATAGTGATAGCTAAATAGACAGATTTTTTATTCATGCACTGATTGTCTTTAAATGTAATATCCAGTTATGTATGACTGTTTAATAATCTCATACCAACTTTGACTGGAGTAGGTCCAATAGTTTTTCAGATATTGTCGTAAACGTTGGTACCTTAAATTACCTTCCAGACTATATATTGGCTACTGTCACTGTCCGACTGACACATCACTTACCCTCTGACGTAATATATATTAATGCGCAACATTCCAGGGAAATTGCAATGTTTAGGTAATGTTTGTGAGAGATGGAAAGAGATTTTTGAGCACAGAATTGAAGAATGACATTATATGATAAAGGGGTTATCACACTTGTGTGTTTGGGGGATGGTTAATATCCTTATTAGGAATAAACATGATGTATTTAGCCCGCCAAGATTCCCTAAATACACACTCGCATGATCACCTCTCTATATCAAATTCATGATACACGAACATGTGGTAAATTGTTACACATCACAAGTCAGTTATGTAGTCAGCTCTTGACTGGGCAAATCTGATGTACACAAATAGAACCAAAAAGATACATTCACTAGATTCTTATAAATTATACTACTCGCCAAAAAACCCTGCAAAAAAAGAAACATATAGAGAAGTATGTATGTTAAGAAGAGATGTTTCCAATGTGTACCAATTAACGACAAAACTAATAGTTAGCCAATTCTTACCACAGTTTCTTTATTCGTCTCATGTTATGCTGCACGGGATTTCCAAACTTTACACCCAAATCCTGCATGTCACTCTTACGACAAGTGTGACTTACTATAAACAGTTCATAATATCAATGACTGCTTTGTCTGGTATTTCAATTAATTGAAGGATATATTTGATGTTTGCAGTATCTGCTCGAGTGTGGTGTACACCATGGCAAGCTCATTGCAGTTACACAGGTAGGTGTAGTGTAGTGTAGTGTAGTGTAGTGTAGTGTAGTGTAGTGTAGTGTAGTGTAGTGTTGTGTAGTGTAGTGTAGTGTAGTGTAGTGTAGTGTAGTGTAGTGTAGTGTTCTATAGTGTAGTGTTATGTAGTGTTCTATAGTGTAGTGTAGGTGTAGTGTTGTGTAGTGTTCTATAGTGTAGTGTAGTGTTCTATAGTGTAGTGTAGTGTAGTGTAGTGTAGTGTAGTGTAGTGTAGTGTAGGTCAATACATTCACTTCTGATGGGACCCTTGAAGATCCGGGCTAAAATAGTTCTTGAACAACCCATGTGCTTGCCGTAAAAGGCGACTATGCTTTTGCGTCATAAGAGGCAACTAACGTGATACTCTTTTAGAGTATTTACCCACAGCTTTTCATTCTATGTGACCTGCAAAGATCCGGGGTAGAATAGGTCTTTAGCAACCCATGCTTGCCGTAAAAGGCGTCTGTGCTTGTAAGAGGCAACTAACGGGATCAGGTGGTCAGGCTCACCAACTTGGTTGATGCATGCCATCGTATCCCAATTGCGTGGATCAATGCTCATGATTTCAATCACTTGGTTGTCTGGTTCAGACTCGATTATTTACAGACCGCCGTCATAAAGCTGGAATATTGCTGAGTGCGGCGTTAAACAACAAATGAACAAACACAAACTGTGATGGGTTTTGGGGTTAGAATATTGGTCCCAAGCAGCCTATGCTGGCCTTTCGATCGGTTGCTCAGACTCAGTGTTCCCCCTGGCTTTTCAAACAGCCAGTCCATGTGGACTGGCAACTCTAAAAATGACCAGTTCCGTCTTATTTTTGCCAGTCCCAACTTTCAACAAATGACTGTGTGATAATTATTTGGTTTTTAATTCTTTCAACATCATGTTCAGTGCAAAGATGTCATCTCTGAAGTAACTTAGCTAGATCTATATATCATTCACACAAACTTCAGTCACAATTTTATCTTTCTTTTTTGAATATTTACTACATTACTACTAATATTCACTACAAATGGATATTGATAGACAAGGGGAAACCCTGAGGGTAACAACCAAGCTGACTTTGTTAGAAAAATGTACTTTTATGAACATCACCAATGTTTTGTTCAACAACAAAGATTTATAAGGTACTTTATTTGCCGGTCCACAGGGACTGGCAGTCACGTGAATCACCGGTCCATGCCTAATTTTGCCGGTAAAAAACTGGTAATTACCGGTAAACGGGAGCGCTGACTCAGTGACATGGTTCATTGCATGTCATCTTCCCAGACAGTGTGGATTGTTGCTCATGATGTCAATCACTGGATTGTCTGGTCCAGACTTCATAAAGCTGGAATATTGCTTAGTTCCGTGTTAGACAACATTTAACAACAAATAAACGATCAGCACATTGGTATTGGACTCTCCATCACAAGTGCCCCATGTGGATTCTGAAGCAGAATAGGTCCCCTCTGTATTGACTTGGTGGGCCTAGACTTTACTGTGGTTACTGTGACAAGCAATATTCTTAAATACTGTTGACTCCAGACGCATTCACTCACGCTTGGAACAGGCTAGTGGAGCCGATGTTAGGTTGAACTGTATAAACTACAATTGTTCTTTATCATTAGCAGGGCGGTTGGGTAGCCTGGTGGTTAAAGCATTCACTCATCACGCCGAAGACCCATTTTGATTACCGAAATATGGACAATGTGTGAAGCCTATTTCTAGTGTGCCCCGCTGTGATATTGCTGGAATATTGCTAAAAGCGGCACAAAACCATACTCACTCACTCACTTTATCATTAGCTTTATGTGGGAGGATGCAGGTCCTGTACGTTTACAACTTTGCTGAAACCCATGGGCATGGTGCTGACAAACAAAGAATTGACTCCAGTAAGAAGCTGCTTTGGCAAGTTATACCTGTAGGTTGCAGAGCTCCTTGTTTGTTGTAAGATGTTAAAGAAAAGAAGCCATCCAGTGTTCCTGTGTTGACTTATTCTCACCACCACTCACTCCATGACTTCAGCCTCGACGAGTGGCAGCCATCACAGTGTCTCAGAGGGTCGCCCAGGAGAAGAACAGTGAAGTGGGAACACTGGTATGTGTTGGTAGCAACAGCAGAACATATTGTCTCAGAATGTGTGGGTAGCAACAGCAGAACATATTGTTTCAGTTGAATGTTGAAGTGTGAATGTATCTGTCTCAGTATGTGTTGAATGTTGAAGTGTGAATGTATCTGTCTCAGCATGTGTTGAATGTTGAAGTGTGAATGTATCTGTCTCAGTATGTTTTGGATGTGGAAGTGTGAATGTAGCTGTCTCAGTATGTGTTTGAATGTTGAAGTGTGAATGTATCTGTCTCAGTATGTGTTGAATGTTGAAGTGTGAATGTATCGGTCTCAGTATGTGTTGAATGTTGAAGTGTGAATGTATCTGTCTCAGTATGTGTTTGAATGTTGAAGTGTGAATGTATCTGTCTGAGTATGTGTTGAATGTTGAAGTGTGAATGTATCTGTCTCAGTATGTGTTGAATGTTGAAGTGTGAATGTATCTGTCTCAGTATGTGTTGAATGTTGAAGTGTGAATGTATCTGTCTCAGTATGTGTTTGAATGTTGAAGTGTGAATGTATCTGTCTCAGTATGTGTTGAATGTGGAAGTGTGAAGGAATTTCAGTATGTGTTGAATGTGGATGTCCCACAACGACTGCATCCTAGGATGTCTGAAGACCTCAGCCTATATCCCATGATATATTTACCTTATCCCACACCTACTGCATCCAAGGATGTCTGAAGACCTCAGCCTATATCCCATGATATGTTTACCTTATCACACACCTACTACATCCTAGGATGTCTGAAGACCTCAGCTTATATCCCATGATATATTTACCTTATCACACACCTACTACATCCTAGGATGTCTGAAGACCTCAGCTTATATCCCATGATATATTTACCTTGTCCCACACCTACTGCATCCTAGGATGTCTGAAGACCTGAGCCTATATTCCGTGATATATTTACCTTATCCCACACCTATTGCATCCTAGGATGTCTGAAGACCTCAGCCTATATCCCATGATATATTTACCTTATCCCACACTGACTGCATCCTAGGATGTCTGAAGACCTCGGCCTATATCCCATGATATATTTACCTTGTCCCACACCTGCTGTATCCAAGGATGTCTGAAGACCTCAGCCTATATCCCATGATATATTTCCCTTATCCCACACCTACTGCATCCAAGGATGTCTGAGGACCTCAGCCTAAATCCCATGATATATTTACCTTGCCCCACACCTACTGCATCCTAGGATGTCTGAAGACCTTGGTTATATCCCATGTTATATTTACCTTGCCCCACACCTACTGCATCCTAGGATGTCTGAAGACCTTGGTTATATCCCATGATATATTTACCTTATCCCACACCTACTGCATCCAAGGATGTCTGAAGACCTCAGCCTATATCCCATGATATATTTACCTTATCACACACCTACTGCATCCAAGGATGTCTGAAGACCTCAGCCTATATCCAATGATATATTTACCTTATCACACACCTACCGCATCCAAGGATGTCTGAAGACCTCAGCCTATATCCCATGATATATTTACCTTGCCCCACACCTACTGCATCCTAGGATGTCTGAAGACATCGGTTATATCCCATGATATATTTACCTTGCCCCACACCTGCTGCATCCTAGGATGTCTGAAGACCTCAGCCTATATCCCATGATATATTTACCTTGCCCCACACCTACTGCATCTTAGGATGTCTGAAGACCTTTATCATATAACTTCCCAACTTTATTCTGATGTATCTATTCCCTGTGCCCAATAGGTAGGCTACTGTGTGAGGTTCGATGATATGACGACAGACAGCACGAAGATAAAGTACATGACAGATGGCATGCTGCTGAGAGAGGCCATCTTGGATCCGCTCATGAACAGGTAACTAATATACACTATAATAGAGAAAGACCTTTCAAGTCAGAAGTTTATCTTTCAAAGCAGAGTTGAAACCTGTTTTGAAATTATACAGAATCAACCCCTTCCTAACAAGTAGCAATGTATAAAGCCCATTTGTGTCCCCAGATAGGATATGGTGGTAAAAAGTTATAATATTATCCATAACGGCAGGGATATAGATGAAATATTCAGTAATTCAGTAATTCACTGTACATTAAAACAACTGTTCCATTACTTCATTGTGTGCCAAAGAAGACCATAGCAACATGATGTCATGTGAATGCATTGGCACAAATAATTGAATAAGATGTCATTTGTCGTTCAACAAAAGTAAACAGAATCCAGTAGACGTATCTCTTGCTGTAATGTTGCACAAGATCTCCATAATTTTGTTTGTGAAATAGAGGACTGTTTAAAGTGTGAAGTACCAGAATATTCAATAAACTTTGTTGTAATGAACTGACGGATATAACAAACTGTTTTTTTGGTCCCGGTCATTTGTGCTATATTTTATCATATATACTTGATGGATATAACGAACATTCTTACAAGGAAATAACAGATATTGCCAACTCCCTCTGTAGTCCCATGTGTACTCTGTCAACGACAATGTTTATAATGAATTGTTAATCTCTGAGCTGCTCATGTGTCCCCAATCAGCCTATCAAAACATTTCGCGGCCACGAGTGGCTGTTCTAAACAATTGAATGTTTGATACATTTGACATCCAGTGGTTTCATACTAATGATGTAAGGGAGATAACCCTCATTCCGGAAGTTCTGGTGTTGTTATGATAGCGTGTGAATTGTATTGATAAAGTTGACAGTTGTAAGTATAGAATGTTACCTTGATTGTGTTGTGTGTTGTCATAGTGTTTTGGAATGATTGTGTGTGTGTGTGGAGATGATCGTTTTGCGAGTGTTATAATGAAAGTCTAACGAATAACAATGTTTGACCTGAAGCAGCGAGTTCTGTTGTCTATCACTAACATAAACAGTCCATATGATCGTGTCACGGTGATTTTCACTGAATATCCTCCCTGCCTTACATGGATGTGGTTTGACTGGTCAGGTACTCTGTTGTGATCCTGGACGAAGCACACGAAAGAACGATACACACAGATGTTTTGTTTGGGGTTGTGAAAGCAGCTCAGAGGAACCGAAAGAAGAAGGGGCTAAAGCCTTTGAAGGTTGGTTGTTGTGATACGGCCATGTTTGTCCCACAGTGATGTAGTTATAACAGTACCTTTATTATGATACCATCACGCTCTCTTGTTCCTGAAAGCACCAGTGGTGGTACATGAGTGAGTGTGTAAGGTCTTATGTGTAAAGCCCATTCGTGTCCCCCAGGTGGGATATGGTGGGAAAAAGGTTTAATATTACCCATTATTACCCAAGTGGTGAAGATACAGGTGGTAAGATACTAAATCTGTACGTCACACGTGTGTCGCACAAGGTTGACCTTGTTTTATTCGTTTTGATTGGATAACCGTGACCTCTGTCACACCAGGACTACTTTTTTCATTCATAAAAAATCGCGAGATGTCATTCATTTTGCGATTACAAGGCAGAACTGAAGAAATTCATGAGAACGAGAGATATTTACAAACACTTTATTAAACCAAACAAGATAGTCACACGCATCAAATTTCGGTTTGCATTCTATATAAGTTATGCATAGAGCTTCTACAGACATATAATCGAGCTAGATCTATAAATCAATTTACAATGTACGACTGCCGATCGAGCGTGTCCCTTGAGCGTGACGCACCCGACCACATTCGCAACTTTCAATTTGATTTAACGTAAAAGGATAAGCGTGGTGAAATAAAGTCTGTTTAAACTATCTGGACAGATATCGAGACTTACTTGGGATGATCCGGTTGTGCCATCGGTGTCCCCTTTGAAGCATATTTTGTGGCGCTGTTTCGGGAGGTGTTGTTCATGGATGAATGAACACGACAGCACGACCAGATCACTTAAAGTTCACAGTTCCGATACAAATCATTCGAAAACTCCGTGGAAGTGTGCCTGACTTCTGATTTTGTGGCCCCAAACATCCCAAATGTGAACAATAACATTCCCTATCTCTAGCGTAAAACGCTGTGAGTGGATCGCGGTTGTCTTTTCTTATTCCGGTGGCGACCTTGCCCTTCGATCGTTCGAAGCTGTCACTGACATGCAAGCAGATTTGAGTTTGTTGATTTTCACGTCTTCAGTATATAGGGTGGTACAGTTAACATGAATGTCTTTGGCGAACAGTCTGATTTCCCTCTTCCAAAATGGTACGGACATGATATAAATTCAGCTGATAGAGCAAGGAAACCGAACCATTTTGATTGCACAGACGGGACCCCGGCAGTGTGACCGACTGTTGGTCCGATATTCAAAGCGGGCGCTAATGTGACATTTCAAATTTTCTTATCAGTGTCCTGCGTACTAACAACATGGTGCTTGAATTACCATAAGTTGAAGACTTTCTTCCAAAAGGATCTTGAGCGTCGGTGCTGGTTTGTTTGCAAACAGAACAGCAGGCGCGTGTTGTTAATGTGTATGCATAAACATGTCAACAATGCCCATATTTGGTCATATATCAATATTCATGCGCAACCAGATTTTGCAACCGGTTTCAGTTTGGTCTGTCAACAAACCAAAGTTGTTATGTATTTACACTTAAATATATATTTAACGTGGGTAATAAATAAAATACCACACTCATTCTCGTTAGATACCCTTTTTACGAAACTCGTGAACTTTCTATGGTATCTGACCTCGCTTTCGCTCGGTCAGATACCATAGAAAGTCCACTTGTACAGGTGAAATATTCAGTAATTCACAAAACATAATAACAATTGTTCCATTACTTCATTGTGTGCGAAGAAGACCACAGCAACATGATGTCATGTGAATGCATTGGCGCAAATAATTGAATAAGGTGTGGTTCATCATTCATAGAGTCGTGATGATTTTATGTGATGATGTTCCAAAAATTGAGCAAGTGAGTGGATGTCTCCATTTGAGATGAGGAAACCCTTAGTTTTCTACATTTCTCAGAAAGATGAATATTACCCTGTAGATTTACAGTGTCCATACTGATTTTCACATTTATATCTACCTAAATGCAAAGTATAAGGAAGGCAATTTTTACATATACATAAGTCAACAATATTAACTGAATTGACTGCTTTTTAAAGCCTGAACACAAAACCTGGTTACAGCAGTATGAAATCAGTAACATTGTTCCGTGCAATAATTGGGGCGGTTGGGAAGCTTAGTAGTGAAAGCGTTCGCTCATCATGCCGAAGACCCGTTTCGATTCCCGACATGAGTACATGTGTGAAGACCATTTCTGGTCTCCCCCGCCTTGATATTGCTGGCATATTGCTAAAAGCGGCGTAAAACCATACTCACTCACTCAGTGCAATAATGCAATGCAAGCCCCGCCCACTCTACTTTTATTAGCCAATCAGGTAACAGTAGTCCACTAGTGGGATTGGCCTAATTTTCTTTTTGGTTTATGTATGCATAATGCAAAAATAGTTGCTTGGTTAGCCTATCAGGCATGAAATCACTTGCAATATATTGATATATGTAACCTTTGATTTTGAGCCAAAGATGAGCTGTAAGTTGACCAGTCTCCTCCATTGATTCTGTTTTCAGATAATAGTGATGTCAGCTACGATGGATGTGGACCACTTCTCTACCTACTTCAACCAAGCACCTGTTCTCTACCTCGAGGGGCGACAGTTTCCAGTCCAGGTACATAGGGAGAGCTGACTATCTCAGTCACAGCACAATGTCACAATGGTATAATTAGCCCCTGACTTCTCTTTGTGTGTGATAGCAGGGTCCACACTGGCTGAACTGGCCTGGAATGTGGATTCTGCCTTCAAAAGGACTTGAAAGTGGATTACATCATGGTAATGTGTCTTTGAAATGGCCTCAATCTTACTATGTAATGGCTGTACCAAGAATATTATGTAAAGCAACAGTTTATGTACACTCTATTTATAATCTGTAAAGATAGTTATCTCCCTTCCATGATTGCCTGCTTCTGCTGGAGCGGAATATGACCTCACCTGTAACAAGCCTTGTTTTTATGTGCAAATTGTTGGAATCAAGTGAGACGTTATTTTGACCTTTTGGCATGGGGAAAACGTAGCTTGCAAGACCATGTAAATTTGTAAATTAGTGACTGAAATTCTGTATGAAACCAGGATAGTAAGCCGACTTTTGTCATCATATACAGCTTATCAGAGTAGATGTGGTACATAGCTTACTGAGGAACTGTGTGGGTGTATCAAGAGATGGGCTGGTGAGATGATCGTCTACTTCGGTTGTAGGTAGTCAGAAAAGAGGTAATATTATTGTCAGCGTTGCCTCAGGCCAATATGACTGACCAAGGACCTTTAAGAAGGTAACTATGAAAACACCCATATAATTACGAGAGTATTGTGTGTATATACCCAATTATAGCTAAAATGGATAGAATTATCATAAAACCGCCCGCATGTTATCAGAAATGAGCGGGCCACTGTAACTTGAAAATGCCATCATACTACTTGACGACAGGCCATTATCACGCCCCTTGTTAGATAATGTCATAGGGACAGGGATAGGTGACGTCATGTTCAATAGTGACATCATCTGGTTTGCCAGATACTTTCCACCATATTAGTAAGAATTTTGTGCAAGCTTTAATTACTTTTGCCACCTCGCAAAAATAACAGTGGATTTGGGTTCTTGCACCCCACCCCTCAGCCCCTGCCAAACGACTTGAAACAAATGCTATCATGACGTAAGTAAATGTCACTTTTCATTTCCAAAGTTAGTGAAAATACTTCCCCATGTCACTGTCTATAGCATGGCCCCAACTATGAAGCGGCATCTCTGAAGAAACCTTCACAATCGATGCTAATTAATATAGCCTGTCTATATTGCAATCCAGACTGAAGCACATCACCAGAGCATACACAGTTCCTGCATTTGCAGTAGAATCTTGTTTGTTGAAATCTGTCTCTGATGGATGTCATTGATGAGGTTGCCACATGCTGTTATGAAACTTCTACTTTGAAGAAGTAAAAAGATGTCCAGTTTTTAAGAATCGATGTTTGTGATTTGTTTTGGCTTTTAGTTTTAAAGTTTTATCATATTAAAACATACAAGTGCAAGAGGGGTAATTTCTTCTTCATATTTTGAGCTTCTTGATCCAATATTTTAATAGTCTTGCCGTCACCTGCTGCTATGTTAGTAGCATCCAACAAAGTTGGTGGATAGGTATCTGGTATTCTGTAGGTGTACCCTCAGTTGATAAATATCAATAAGAACTAGTCCTCGTTCGTCTCATCATCTTCTAAATGCCGTCTCACTGACTATCATATTACATACTGGCTGCAAGGATGGAAATTAACCATAAACATGGACTAGCCCAAATATTGATGACATGCCTCAATCCCCCCAAAATGTTTGAAATTCAACTAGGATGCCTAACATTAGCAAAAGTGGTCCGGGCAAGTGGTAATTTCCATCCCTGCAGATGTTGTACTAAAGCCTGCATGTCTTAGCCTGCACTATTCATGACACGTATTTGTCTGCCCCGTGCGGGTATGAGAGGGTTAAGGATGTATGTGACTATCTTTCTGTCTGCAGGTGTTGTACTGCTGTGAGCCCCAGAGTGACTACCTGTTTACCTCCCTTGTCACACTCTTCCAGATCCACAGGGAGCAGCCTGCCGGGTGAGATGCATCACCAGTCATTAGTCACACAATGTCATTGATGATGTTTATATGTCGAATATCATGTGAGGAATTTGACGTGCACTGGGTGCTCCTTTGTGTTGACCATTACTTTAGTGTTATTCCAGGCCCTCCCATTCTACTGTAGGTTTAATCCAGGATTCACCCTGAATATCGCTGTTAGTTTGTCAGCTCCATACCTGTGCTCATCCAATTAACCACAGTAGTAAACGTCAAACATCTGCATCACTCCAGGCTTTCCTCCATGTTAAACTGAAGGCAATGATATATAGGGATATATATCATGTGTCTTGTGAAATATGATGTATCTCTCATCGAGTTACGTCATAATAGCTCCTTTTCCATGTCACGAGATGAGAGACACATCATATTTCACTAGACACATGAAATATTCTATTTATGATATACTATATTTGTTGTTGACAGTGGTTTGTTTTTTTAACAGATTACCCAAAACAATTAAACTGCAAAATGTAAATTATCACTACTATATGCATTGACCATTTCACGCATGGCCTCATACAGATACAAGATACAGTAGGGGCGGTCGGGTAGTCTAGTGGTTAAAGCGTTCACTCATCACGCCAAAGACGCAGGTTCGAATCCCCACATGGGTCGGTGTGTGAAGCCCATTTCTGGTGTCCCCCGCCATGATATTGCTGGAATATTGCTAAAAGTGTCGTAAAACCACTTGCTCGCTCGCTCGCTCACTCACTCACTCACTCACTCACTCACTCACTCACTCACTCACACACCCACCTACCCACTCACTCACTCACTCACTCAAGATACAGTACTTATTTAAAAAAACAATATTTATTTTTTTAAATTGTACATACTGCTGAGATTTTTTTTTAGTGAAATATTTTCACTGCCAACCAATTGCCAAATTGTAAGTGTTTCGAAGCCTGGCTACTGTCACATGCGACAGGCACATGGGCGGGTAACTTCAGTAAAAGTAGTATCTAATGGGGACTTGTTTAGTAAACTATATATCTCTGACACTAGAAGAATGTGGTAATTTAGATGGAAATGGATTTACTTCCTATGAAGAAGGTCCAGATGTAATTCAGATCTGATGTGATTCCCATTTTAAATCCAACTCAAAATGTTATTATTATTAGTTATCAGGGTAATGACAGCAAAATTAATGATCATCATAAAATTTTAGCTAGCAGACAATCAACATTGTTAGGACTGCCAGTTGTTCAAACTTAACTCATTGATAATTTCCTGTTTTGAATTAGACTTCCTAACACATTTCTTGATTCTCTCTATTTTCACTGTTTAGTCAAGATATTCTGATATTCTTGACGGGTCAAGAAGAGATTGAATCTGCTGCCAAGTCAATACATGACATCTCGCGGGACATGGTTGGCGAGGCCCCACCACTGGTTGTCTGCCCTTTGTATGCAGCCCTGCCAGCACCTCAACAGCTCAAGGTCTTCCAGCCAACACCAAAAGTAAGCTGCCATCTGATGCATCTGTAAAGTCCATATGTTTTCACCCGTATTTTCTAGTGATCTTCAACTGGTACGATTGCTTTCCATGAGATATTACTTCCAATTTCTTGTGAGGAACAAGATTCGATAGAATCCTTGGATTTTTTTGCATTCTTTCTTCCCTTTTTGGATATCCAATCTTGAAACAGATATTATTGAAAGCTTTGTTCAACAGGGCTCAAGAAAAGTGATTGTATCAACCAATATTGCGGAAACATCTGTCACCATCCATGGTGTGAAGTTTGTCATCGACTGTGGAATGGTGAAGGCCAAGTAAGTCCAACTGTAAAGACAGTGTTAGTTTACTAGTTAGAGAAATAGGGATTAACAGCAGAAGTATTCTCTTATCCACAGGCATAGTAATATTGGGGTAATGCTATTAGAATTGTTTCATTATGATAAAATATGTTTGACAAATTTGTGGTTAATATAACTTTGTATTCATGACTCACTTGTGTGTATATCAACTCTTTCTTGTCGCTATATGGCTGACAAAATGCTGATGCGACGTTAAATTTTAACTCACTCACTCAATTAGAATTATATATGATAAATGATAGCCTAAATATAAATGATATAACTTTGTATTCATGACTCACTTGTGTGTATATCAGCTTTTTCTCGTCGCTATATGGCTGACAAAATGCTGATGCGACGTTAAATTTTAACTCACTCACTCAATTAGAATTATATATGATAAATGATAGCCTAAATATAAATGATATAACTTTGTATTCATGACTCACTTGTGTGTATATCAACTTTTTCTCGTCGCTATATGGCTGACAAAATACTGATGTGACGTTAAATTTTAACTCACTCACTCAATTAGAATTATATATGATAAATGATAGCCTAAATATAAATGATATAACTTTGTATTCATGACTCACTTGTGTGTATATCAACTTTTTCTCGTCGCTATATGGCTGACAAAATGCTGATGCGACGTTAAGTTTTAACTCACTCACTCAATTAGAATTATATTATGATAAATGATAGCCAACCTGTCGTGGAAATTCTGGGTTAGAATAGTCTGCAGCAATCTATGCTGGTAGGACAAGGCAACCAAATGGATTTGGTTGTCCAGCTCGGTGACTTGGTTGACAGTCCTGACGATGTTGGACCTTGCTAATGTCTGTAACTGACTCAGTTATTTACAGGCCGCTGTCATATAGCCGGAATAATGCTGAGTGCATCATTAAACAACAAACAAACATTGTGTGTTAAATAAGCTGAAGCACAGCTACATTGCATGCTTGTTGCTTCAGAGTGTTCAACCCCCACAGTGGTCTCGATTTGTTGAGGGTGGTGCGGGTATCTAAAGCGCAGGCACTACAGCGGACGGGGCGGGCTGGTCGAGAGGCTGCAGGATCGTGCTACCGCATCTTCACAGAAAAACAGTTTGAGTCCCTGAAAGACAACACAGTGCCGGAGATCCAGAGGTAGATAACAGTAATGGCAGTTTCAGAACATCATGTTCATATCTTTACAATCTTATTGATTAACAAAACAGTCAAGAGTGGATGCCAATCTGTTCCCAGGTGTAATCTGTCCACTGTTTAACATGACACTTATCTGTTCCCAGATGTGACCTGTCCACTGTTTGAAATGACACCAATCTGTTCCAGGTGTAACCTGTCCACTGTTTAACATGACACCAATCTGTTCCAGGTGTTATCTGTCAAGTGTTTAACATGACATTTGTCTGTTCCCAGGTGTAACCTGTCCACTGTTTAACATGACACTTATCTCTTCCCAGGTGTAACCTGTTTACTGTTTAACATGACACCAATCTGTTCCCAGGTGTAACCTGTTCGCTGTTTAACATGACACCAATCTTTTCCCAGGTGTAATCTGTCAAGTGTTTGACATGACACCAATCTGTTACAGGTGTAACCTGTCCACTGTTTAACATGACACTTATCTGTCCCAGGTGTAACATGTCCACTGTTTAACATGACACCAATCTGTCCCAGGTGTAACATGTCCACTGTTTAACATGACACCAATCTGTTACAGGTGTAACCTGTCCACTGTTTAACATGACACTTATCTGTCCCAGGTGTACCCTGTCCACTGTTTAACATGACACTTATCTGTTCCCAGGTGTAACCTGTCCAGTGTTTAACATGACACCAATCTGTTCCCAGGTGTAACCTGTCCACTGTTTAACATGACACTTATCTGTTCCCAGGTGTAACCTGTCCACTGTTTAACATGACACTTATCTGTTCCCAGGTGTAACCTGTCCACTGTTTAACATGACACTTATCTGTTCCCAGGTGTAACCTGTCCACTGTTTAACATGACACTTATCTGTTCCCAGGTGTAACCTGTCCACTGTTTAACATGACACTTATCTGTCCCAGGTGTAACCTGTCCACTGTTTAACATGACACTTATCTGTTCCCAGGTGTAACCTGTCCAGCGTTTAACATGACACCAATCTGTTCCCAGGTGTAACCTGTCCACTGTTTTACATGACACCAATCTGTTCCCAGGTGTAACCTGTCCAGTGTTTAACATGACACTTATCTGTTCCCAGGTGTAACCTGTTCACTGTTTTACATGACACCAATCTGTGCCCAGGTGTAACCTGTCCACTGTTTAACATGACACTTATCTGTTCCCAGGTGTAACCTGTCCACTGTTTAACATGATACCAATCTGTCCCAGGTGTAACCTGTCCACTGTTTAACATGACACTTATCTGTCCCAGGTGTAACCTGTCCACTGTTTGACATGACACTTATCTGTTCCCAGGTGTAACCTGTCCAGTGTTTAACATGACACCAATCTGTTCCCAGGTTTAACCTGTCCACTGTTTAACATGACACCAATCTGTTCCCAGGTGTAACCTGTCCAGTGTTTAACATGACATTTATCTGTTCCCAGGTGTAACCTGTCCACTGTTTAACATGACATCAATCTGTTCCCAGGTGTAACCTGTCTAGTGTTTAACATGACACTTATCTGTTCCCAGGTGTGACCTGTCCACTGTTTAACATGACATCAATCTGTTCCCAGGTGTAACCTGTCTAGTGTTTAACATGACACTTATCTGTTCCCAGGTGTGACCTGTCCACTGTTTAACATGACACTTATCTGTTCCCAGGTGTAACCTGTCCACTGTTTAACATGACATCAATCTGTTCCCAGGTGTGACCTGTCCACTGTTTAACATGACACCAATCTGTTCCCAGGTGTAACCTGTCCACTGTTTAACATGACATCAATCTGTTCCCAGGTGTGACCTGTCCACTGTTTAACATGACACCAATCTGTTCCCAGGTGTAACCTGTCCACTGTTTAACATGACACTTTTCTGTTCCCAGGTGTAACCTGTTCACTGTTTAACATGACATCAATCTGTTCCCAGGTGTGACCTGTCCACTGTTTAACATGACACCAATCTGTTCCCAGGTGTAACCTGTCCACTGTTTAACATGACACTTTTCTGTTCCCAGGTGTAACCTGTTCACTGTTTAACATGACATCAATCTGTTCCCAGGTGTGACCTGTTCACTGTTTAACATGACACCAATCTGTTCCCAGGTGTAACCTGTCCACTGTTTAACATGACACTTTTCTGTTCCCAGGTGTAACCTGTCCAGTGTTGTGCTCCAGATGCTGGCTCTCGGTATATCAGACATCATAAAGTTCGACTTCATGGATAAGCCATCAATTGAAGTATGTATAATACGACTGACTTCTTTTTGATCTGTTGTTGACAACATTAATTCTGTTGTTGTTTCATTTTGGAGAAAAGTCAAAACGTTCTACTAATTTGCCAAGTTAGACACATTCTTAAGGCAATTCTACATTTAGATAAAAGAAATGGAAGTTATCATGCGTTCACAGGAGTTGCCTCCCTTAGCTCAACTGTTCCTTGAATCTTCTGTTTTCAGTCAATAGTCTGTGCCTTAGACAATCTTATCTTACTTGGAGCTATTGAGAAGAAGGACAAAATACAGGTACTGATTACAGTTTCTAAAACATTCTGTCTGTAGACAAGTGCCATTTGAACAAAGGTCAAGTTCAGTTAAGTCAGTCCCAAAATTACATGAGAGGTCACATGACCTTTGGGAATCAAGGGAAGAAAAGGGTCCCAGCACCCCATGCATGTTGTAAAAGTGAGTGAGTGAGTATGGTTTTACGCCGCTTTTAGCAATATTCCAGCAATATCATGACGGGGGACACCAGAAATGGGCTTCACACATTGTACCCATGTCGGGAATCGAACACGGGTCTTCAGCGTGACGAGCGAACGCTTTAACCACTAGGCTACCCGATCGCCCCGCATGTTGTAAGACCCATCTGAAGAGGATAGCGTTGTCAGGGTTTGTGACCAGGCTGTCATAGTGGCTAGTGCATTCATTGAATGCCATTCCGTTACTGGTTTGCTGGTCGAGACTTGATTATTTACAGTGGAAATATACTGGCAACATTAACTCACTTACTCAAAGGTAGCGTGTCACTCAGGTGCTCAGCAAATCACAATGACTATAGTTCAAATCCTAGATTTGCTCTGATCATGATCCTTGGTTAAGAATGTATTTTTCATGTCTCATGTCTCATGTATGTTTCATTATTTATTGTCCATTTCAATTGCTTCAGTCAGCTGTATTATGTAAAATTTACTTTAAATTGGAAAATACTAGCTGCTGGTCAATCAGAGGTTTCATATCACAATGACCACCTATGACTGAAACAGCTGATACATGACTGCATCACTGCAAGTTAATATTAATATTAATTAATATATAATAAGTTAATATACAGTCATGGAAGGTAGGCAGTTTGAAGTTAAGATGTTAAGAAAAAATATAGGTTAAAAAATGTACTGTTAGGTTCAAAATTGCTAACTTGCGGTTCCGATAATATTTGAAGTATATGTAGTTATAGATTTGGGGGGGGAAAGACCAAAACTCTGGGACCTGCTGTGACCTAAGATGTCAAGACAGTTTCTTACTAGAGATAATTCTTGGTTTGTCAGCAATGTTCCTGTATTTGAGAGTTACACCAACCAACACCTGCATAACTTCGGGCCTTCCTCCACCATCAAGCTGTTATATAATCAAAATTGTGGTCAAATCAGTGTCAAACACAACTCACTCACTCGCTCATTCTCTTTTATATTGCCAAAGATGTCAAATTTAATTTGTCAGGAGGATGGGAGTCAGGCCTCTTAAAGGCCTTAAATTCCAGTCTGCCTTGAACAGACCTTAAAAGTCAGTGAAAGACGTTAAATTTGCAATCATTGTGAACTCTGATTGTGAATAACTTATTGTTATTTTCTCTATTAATGTGTGGGGGCACGGTTGGCCCAGTCATCTAAGTCATCCCTCAGCACGCCAGAAACGTATGATTGTGGGTTCGAATACTGGTGTGCCCCGATTATGTTTCTAGGGATGTCAGCACCATACCTGTGCTTGTGGGTTTCACTGAAATGGTAAACGTCTGGGACCTACATCACTTCATCCTTTCCTCCCACATTAAGCTGACATGCTGCGATAAAACTGTAATACTGTTAAAAGCAGCGTTAAACCCAACTCACTCACTCACTATTAATGTGTGATGACATGTAGCAATTAAATGATTGGTCCAGAAGGTGGTTGATAAATAATATTAAAACATTGGAACATTTAAATATATAACAGTGTATTTAGAGGTACAAGTGAAGTCATACTAATTGTGAAATAGTGTAAATCTATTAATAAATCTGTTTGAAACCACACTCTTGGGTCTTATTTTATAGGGGTGACAAGTATGATTGTTGCTTTAAATAGGCCTTAAAGGTAGTGTTTCAAAATTGATTGTTTAAGTATGGACTCTCTGGCAAGTTGAAACAGAAATGATCTTTATTACAGCTAACCCCAGTAGGGAGAAAAATGTCTGCCTTCCCTCTTGAACCACGACTGTCAAAGGTCATCCTCATGGCGAAAGAATATCACTGTCTGTGAGTAGTTGTCAGGAGAATATACATTTAGTACATTGTATTAGCGACTAAATGTTTTTATTGCAGCTATATCATCTTATGTTCACAATTTCACCTACTTCTGTTGCGTAATTGCACACGCGAAACCACGGAAGTTACGTAACTATCTCATGGTGACATCATTACTGCTTCTTGAATTACGTCACTGTCTCTACTCATCACTTTCGCGACAGCCTTTCATCATGTCTCACATCATATCATAGCTTTCCCTGTCTTAGTAGTTGTCTGAAGAATGTCAGTGATCACTGTCTGTGAGTAGTTGTCTAGAAAATAGTGAGAATATCACCATTTGTACTGAAAATGTTGTCTGGGTGATTACAGAGGACATCACTGTCTGTAAAATGTTACATAAAATATCAGTAGACTAATATCATTACCAACCTCCCAGTCTCAATGGCAGTGTTTCCCAATCAGCGTTTTTACCACTACACTTTGCTAATATCTGATACATTTTTTGAGTACCTGACTATATTTTGTATATTTATTCAGTTGAATACCATGTCCTTAGGACCCTGTAGAGATTACCTGCTAGGACCCAAGTACTGTGAGGATGGATGGTTGCAATATTTATGCTCATGCTTTTAACCAGGCATAGTACAAGATATTCCAGAACCAGAATTTAGATCTTGAACATAATATTATGATAAATGGTAAAACCAAAATAATAACATCATTGTCAATTCATTGATTCCTGAATACAGAATAGAATTTGCTGAGCTCCATATTATGATTTAATTTCCCTCACCTAACCCATGAAATTGCTATAATCAAAGATGCTGCCCACTACACACCCTATAACCACATTTATTTAGGAAATATTTTGAGGATATCATAATCTGGAGACCAGCAAATTCTATTCTGTATTCAGGAATCAAGTGAATTGACAAAAGCTGTAAATCTTGAAATTAATGCGTCTCCAAATTAATATGACTGCTGCCCCTAGCCAAAAATGCAACTCAAAATCAGTGCGACTCCCCCACCACATCCCCAGTGGAATGATACATATTCTTACCTTAATCCAATCAAACAGCAAATAGTGCTGCTTATTAGCACTGAGTAAAGCACTAAAACAACACACAGTTTATATGTTTATTCTGTTGACTGACACTAAGGAAGTTCAAAGGCAATAAAATAGTTGAACCAACAACAGTTCACTGATTGGAGTGGTCAATGATGCCTTGTTTGACACGAGTGGGTAAAACTCTTGACCCCAGCAGTGATAAGTCACTGGATGCCTATTGTGTAACTCCTATTCTTTAAATGACATTGTTATGTACTTGTTACAACTGCTGCTCAATAAACCATATTTGTGTATATGTTCAAGTTGGTATTTCAGCTGTCCAAAATGTGCAGTGAGGCAGTCTTATTGTTGATAGTCATTTTGGAGACATAAATGAGAATTTTCATTAATGCGAACAAAGACCACTCGCATTTTTATCCCCCGCCGCGCGAAAGCGCGAAGCGGGGGATATAGTATTCACGACCGTCCGTCCGTACGTCCGTACGTCCGTACGTCCGTCCGTACGTCCCACCTGTTTGTTGCCGCGATATCTCAAGAACTAAACACTGGATTGTCTTCATATTTGGAACTATGGTGTATATACAGACTCCGCAGACACCAGTTGGTTTTGGTGACCTTGATCCCATTTTCAAGGTCACAGCAGACAAATCTGCTTTTAGAGTTGGAAAACGGTGTTGCCGCGATATCTCAAGAACTAAACACTGGATTGTCTTCATATTTGGAACTATGGTGTATATACAGACTCCGCAGACACCAGTCGGTTTTGGTGACCTTGATCCCATTTTCAAGGTCACAGCAGGCAAATCTGCTTTTGGAGTTAGAAAACGGTGTTGCCGCGATATCTCAAGAACTAAACACTGGATTGTCTTCATATTTGGAACTATGGTGTATATACAGACACCGCAGACACCAGTCGGTTTTGGTGACCTTGACCCCATTGTCAAGGTCACAGCAGGCAAATCTGCTTTTGGAGTTAGAAAACGGTGTTGCCGCGATATCTCAAGAACTAATCGCTGGATTGTCTTCATATTTGGAACTATAGTGTATATACAGACACCGCATACACCTGTCAGATTTGGTGACCTTGACCCCATTTTCAAGGTCACAGCAGGCAAATCTGTTTTTGGAGTTGGAAAACGGTGTTGCCACAATATCTCAAGAACTAATGGCTGGATTGTCTTCATATTTGGTACTATGGTGTACAGGCGGGGGATATTTCGTCACTCTGTGACAAATACTTGTTCACATTTATTTCACGCTCGTGTTAATTTCAAGATTTACAGTATGTTTTTGTTTGGGTTTTTTTTATGGGGGGAGGGGGGTACCATTTATCAAAATATTATGTTTTAGGTCTTAATTCTGTTTCTGGAATATCTTGTACCATTAATAACTCTTCTACAGACCCTCCGATTAGTCCCGCGTTTGTGTTGCAGGGAGGAGATACTGAGTATTGTGTCCTTGCTGTCTGTGGACTCCATCTTGTTTACCCCCCACAGTAAGGTACGTACACTGCTGCATCTCCCGGCTGTGTTCAGCTAGTGATGTTTGTGCTACAACTGCTGGAAGTCAATATCAAAGCCTGGGATCGCTTTGTGGAATGGATCTCAGGACTCTCCTTTAGCCCCACAGAAAGATGTGTACAGTATGGGAAAGAATCTAATGAGGTTTTTGTTGCTACTTTTTCTGGACGAAATGTGTTTGATAATAATGTGAAGTGCTTCACTAACACAGTCAGTGTTCTACATGTTCCACGAGAGTATATATGTATTGGAGAAAACAGGCTTACAAGGTTTTGGTATACAGAGCATGCCCTGGGGAGAGGGAAAAACCAAGCGGGCGAAGCCCCCGCGGTTTTTCCCCGACCCCGAGGGCATGCTCTGTCTACCAAAACCGAGGGAAAGTGTTTTTCCATGCTTATAAACCGAAAAAAGAAACTTAAAACAACATTTATCAACATTTTTATGTTTCGAACATACTTTCCATGAACCTTAGGAAACGCGCGTAAAATATCTGTTGCTGGCGTACGGATCTTGAAAAGGACATTCTAAAAACCAGTGAGGCTTATGAACACCTCTGTAGCCTCGTGGTACACTCACTGGGCTACAGATATGAAGGTTGCGAGTTTGATCCTCGGGAATATAAAGAAAACATTTGTCATTTGATTTTACATTTCATTACATGTTACAATCTGAATGGAAGTTATATTAATAAAATACCCAGGACATTATATAAAATCCCTTGGATGTTATATAAAATCCCAGGGACATTACAACGTCCCTGTTTATGAGATTTAACCTGACTGGAAAGTAAAACCTCACAATAGGTTTTAATGCCTATAGAAAGAAGTCTCTTACTTAATAGCGATCCCAATGAATAGGTTTATAAGTGTAGGATAAAGCATGTCTGAGGGTTTTTATGATATTTAAAACCCGTATCTGCGGAATAAAACCCAAGGATAAGGGTTTTTAAATATCATGAAAACCCGATGTGAAGTGTTTTATCTAACTTATAAACTGAGAAAAGAAAATTTAAATAACATTTATCAACATTTTTATGTTTTAAACATACTTTCCTTGAACCTTAGGAAACGGGCGTAAAATATCTGTTGCTGGCATACCATTCTTAAAAAAGTCGACTAAGAAGGATTGTGATTTATCAGGGCATCTGATATATAGTGGTATACTCACCGGGCTACAGATACGAAGGTTGTGTGTTAGATACTCAAGAATATCAAAAAAACATTTGTCATTTGATTTTACATTTCATTACATATTGCAATCTGAATGGAAGTTAACAACTGTAAACAAACCAGACAAAAAAGTCATGTAAATGTAAGACATCATCGCCAGAGAATAACCAGTCTTGATTATCCCACAAAACAGATTCCATTGGGCATTTAAGGCAAAATAGCGACAAGAAACTATGTTTCTCTTTTGAGGACAATATTATTTGTTTGTCTTGCAACAAAGTGGGTATGACTGTTTATTATGTTCATATTCCAACTGTGGTGTCATCAGTACTGCATGTCTTTATAGTTTGTGTACTCTATGCTAGGTTTCATTATATGGACATGGACAGGTCACAGATGTACAGAGTTGCGTCCCTTAGAAACCTATGATCATGATCATTTACAGACTGGTGATGTGTCTGTTACATTTAGGGCATATTACTATGAAGTTGCTGTGACATTGAGCTCATGTTGCTGTCTTGTCTGTGACATAGAGGTCATATTGCTGTGATGTTACTGTGACATCGAGGTCATATTGTTGTGATGTTACTGTGACATAGAGGTCATATTGCTGTGATGTTACTGTGACATTGAGATCATATTGCTGTGATGTTACTGTGACATTGAGGTCATATTGCTGTGATGTTACTGTGACATTGAGGTCATATTGCTGTCTTGTCTGTGACATAGAGGTCATATTGTTGTGATGTTACTGTGACATTGAGGTCATATTGCTGTGATGTTACTGTGCCATTGAGATCATATTGCTGTGATGTTACTGTGACATTGAGGTCATATTGTTGTGATGTTACTGTGACATTGAGGTCATATTGCTGTCTTGTCTGTGACATAGAGGTCATATTGCTGTGATGTTACTGTGACATTGAGGTCATATTGTTGTGATGTTCCTGTGACATTGAGGTCATATTGTTGTGATGTTACTGTGACATTGAGGTCATATTGCTGTCTTGTCTGTGACATAGAGGTCATATTGCTGTGATGTTACTGTGACATTGAGGTCATATTGTTGTGGTGTTACTGTGACATTGAGGTCATATTGTTGTGGTGTTACTGTGACATTGAGGTCATATTGTTGTGATGTTGCTGTGACATTGAGGTCATATTGTTGTGATGTTCCTGTGACATTGAGGTCATATTGTTGTGATGTTACTGTGACATTGAGGTCATATTGCTGTGATGTTGCTGTGACATTGAGGTCATATTGCTCTGATGTTACTGTGACATTGAGATCATATTGCTGTGACGTTACTGTGACATCGAGGTCATATTGCTGTCTTGTCTGTGACATTGAGGTCATATTGCTGTGATGTTACTGTGACATTGAGGTCATATTGCTGTGATGTTACTGTGACATTGAGGTCATATTGCTGTCTTGTCTGTGACATTGAGGTCATATTGCTCTGATGTTACTGTGACATTGAGATCATATTGCTGTGACGTTACTGTGACATCGAGGTCATATTGCTGTCTTGTCTGTGACATTGAGGTCATATTGCTGTGATGTTACTGTGACATTGAGGTCATATTGCTGTGATGTTACTGTGACATTGAGGTCATATTGCTGTCTTGTCTGTGACATTGAGGTCATATTGCTGTGTTGTTACTGTGACATTGAGGTCATATTGCTGTGATGTTACTGTGACATTGAGGTCATATTGCTGTCTTGTCTGTGACATTGAGGTCATATTGCTGTGATGTTACTGTGACATTGAGATCATATTGCTGTGTTGTCTGTGACATTGAGGTCATATTGCTGTGATGTTACTGTGACATTAAGATCATATTGCTGTGTTGTTACTGTGACATTGAGGTCATATTGCTGTGATGTTGCTGTGACATTGAGGTCATATTGCTGTGATGTTACTGTGACATTGAGGTCATATTGCTGTGATGTTACTGTGACATTGAGGTCATATTGCTGTGATGTTACTGTGACATTGAGGTCATATTGTTGTGATGTTACTGTGACATTGAGGTCATATTGCTGTGATGTTACTGTGACATTGAGGTCATATTGTTGTGATGTTACTGTGACATTGAGGTCATATTGTTGTGATGTTGTTGTGACATTGAGGTCATATTGCTGTGATGTTGCTGTGACATTGAGGTCATATTGTTGTGATGTTGCTGTGACATTGAGGTCATGTTGCTGTCTTGTCTGTGACATTGAGATCATATTGTTGTGATGTTACTGTGACATTGAGGTCATATTGTTGTGATGTTACTGTGACATTGAGGTCATATTGTTGTGATGTTACTGTGACATTTAGGTCATATTGTTGTGATGTTGCTGTGACATTGAGGTCATATTGCTGTGATGTTGCTGTGACAATAGGGTCATATTGTTGTGATGTTACTGTGACATTGAGGTCATATTGCTGTGATGTTACTGTGACATTGAGGTCATATTGCTGTGACATTGAGGTCATGTTGCTGTCTTGTTTGTGACATTGAGGTCATATGTTGCTGTGACATTGAGGTCATGTTGCTGTCTTGTCTGTGACATTGACATCAAATGTTGCTGTGACATTGAGGTCATGTTGCTGTGACATTGATGTCATGTTGCTGTCTTGTCTGTGACATTGACATCAAATGTTGCTGTGACAGTGAGGTCATGTTGCTGTGACATTGAGGTCATGTTGCTGTGACATCGAGATCATTTTGCTGTCTTGATTGTGACATTGAGGTCATATTGCTGTGACATCGAGGTCATGTTGCTGTCTTGTTTGTGACTTTGAAATCACAATAAAGTCAGATTGATTTTATCTTGGTATGACAGTGACTTTAGATTGATGTTTTCTTGCTGCGACATTGTGGTCATTTGCTTTGATGCTACTGTGACAGAAAGTCATATTTCCTTCTTGTGCTGTGAGCTTGAAGTGACAGTGAGTCATGTTGCTGTCATGACGCTATGATGTTGCTGTTACATTGGGGTCATATTGCTGACAACAGTGTGAGTGACAAAGGATTGAGTCTATAATAAAGTAGTGGTGTTTTATCCTTTACTTCTTGTCTACATTCTGAAGCACACCTAAAATCATTCGCATGTGTGTGTTTAGCAGGTTAAGGCTGACCATGAGAGTTGTGGAAGCGTAGGTTACCCTCTCTCTACTGACTGTTATCAGTAAAGGTTCTTCTGCTTGACCCACACACTGTCTCTTGGAATGATGGACCTGTATAGCACCGAGAACTATAGTTTAAGAGGAATCGAAAAAGATTTGGATGGACATGACAAGATAATTCACAACTAAACACCTTCTATCTTATTTGCTTCTAAAAAGACATTACAGAACACAACATTTTTTTATAATCAGCATGCATCAATTTCAGAATAGAAGTATGAAAGAAATTTTTGCGGGAAATGTTTGAAATGTTTACCCATATTATAAGCCTTCACTGAAATCATCAGCTTGTTCTGATAGCCATTGAATGGATCATCAATTAATGTAGTCATGTAACAATACTCAAATATGACTGCCAAATCAGTAACATGCACAGTGCAAATAATACACTTTGAGCACTTGCCAAATATTAAGTTAACATTTGGTACACCTGTTATACCTGGGCAGCTTGCTGTGACAATGGAGCGGTGGGGTAGCCTAGTGGCTAAGCGTTCGTTTGTCACGCCAAAGACCCAGGTTCGATTCTCCCCATATGGGTGCAATGTGTGAAGCCCATTTTTGGTGTCGCCGCTGTGATATTGCTGGAATATTGCTAAAAGCGGCGTAAAACCATACTCACTCACACACTG